CCATTTAGACCCAAGTCCTTTTCCCAAAACTGTAATTCCACCACATCCCTCTCTGCAGCCGGAGCTCCCTTGCAAGTGCCAAGCTGTCTGGCCCCGCCAGCAGCTGGCCTGCCAAGGAGCTCCGCACCCCCCCCCAACCCCGTGCTGTCCCCTGGCCTCAAGCTCTCTAACGGTGCCCCATCCTCCTGCTGCCTCAGGCCACCCCAGCTCCTTGCACTCTGGCCACACTCCTGAAGCTGCCATCCTCTCCTGGCCTCCAGGCCTGTGACTGTCCCTCTGTCTGGAAAGCTATGTCCCCACCTGGGGGCCCCAGGTGATGTGGGGAGGTGGCTTATAGGAGGCTCCCCCCACCTCAAGTTTTGTAGGAAAGGTGGCGGGATTGGAGAGGTTGCTTGCACACTCTTCCGGTTTGTTTGCTGGCCTCTGTAACTCAGGGAGCTCTGGTCCATTCCTGTTCCCCACTGGGGCAGCGGTTCTGGCTGGGACACTGATGTGACCCTGGGTGGGCTGCTCCCCTTTTCTGCAGGGGGCAGGGCGCAGGGCAAGGCAAGAGAGGCTATCACTACCTCTACTCCTAAAGTCCCTGCCCCCTGCCCCAAGCTCAAAAAATGTTCCCCCTTCCCTCAGCCTCCAAACCCAGTGGCTGGAGGATGAGGTGGCCCAAGACTGTGAGCCACTGGACTTGGTCTGGGACCTGGCAGGACCCCCAGAGCCTACATCTGAGCAATGGGGAGGGTCCTATCCCGCTCTGGGATGGGGTGGAGACAAGCTGCGTTGGGGAGAAGGGCGCCTAGCCTGTCCTGGAGCTCCCTCTAGTGTCATCAGAGGGGCTTGCAGCCTGTCCTTTAGTCTGGGGAGGACTGGGTTTGTCCTGACCACCATGCCTGAGCCACCCGGCAAGCTCCTGTCTCCATCCCCACCATTGGGGGTTCACCCAGCTGGGATGTGGGGGTACACTCTGTCTTTCTCCCTCCTTCTCAGCCCCAGCAGACACCAAGTTCTGTTGCTTCTGCTACACGAATGCCCACCCCTGCTTCCCACCCTCCCCTATCCCGACTCAGCCCTGTAACCTTTCCCGGGAGTCCTTCTGCCCCTGCCCTCCTGCAGTGCACTCCCACATCCTCCCGAGGGAACTCTGTGACGTGCACACCTGACTGAGTCACACACCCCTTCGCCCCTGGCCCCTCCTCCACGCCCTCCATGGCTCCCCAGCGCCTCCAGGACAGAGTTGCCTCCTCAGCACCTCACAAGCTGCCCTCGGCTGACAGTTTCACCTCTGTCACAGCCGCTCCACATTTGGACCGCAGGCAATGTCACCCATCCGCAGTTGCTGAAGGGACGATGCCCTCTCTGACACCTGTCCCTGCCCTTGCGCAGTCTGCAGTCAGGTCACCTCCTGCCTGCTGTCTATCTGGAAGACTCCTATTCACACTCCAAAGCCCGGCCTCCTCTGGGGAACAGCAGTCTGGCACCTGGCCTCTCTGTCCTTGGGGTCCCACCAGGCTCTGCACAAGTGCCTCCCTGCAAAGTCTGTGTGTATCTATCTTTCCACTAGATGTGAGCTTCCCAAGGGCCGGGGCTGAATGGCCCTCCTGTGCGTTCATCACCTGCTCTGTGCCCTGTCTGTGTGCGTAAGGGGTAGGGGAGCGGGCAGGGTGATGGTGTGGATTTGCTCCGTGGGGTGGGGAGGAGACAGGGGGCTGGATTATGAGGACTTTGGGTGTCAGGCTCAGGAATGTGGACTTGGCCCGGGGGTACCTAGGAGTTAACAGACAGGTGACACCATGTAGGATTTTGGGAAGTCCCTCTGGCAGTTGGTGTGGAACCCAGTGGCCTCTGGGGCATTGTTTTGGGGGTGGTGGATGCTTCCAATTTTCATGGGGAAGGGTGCCACAGGCCTTTAGTGGGTGGGGCCTGGGATGTGCAGGGCAGTCTCTGAAGCACAAAGAACACCACTTGACTTTGGAATGTCCTGCCAGACATTCATGTTCAGGAAAAAAGACCTGTCTGTAAGTGTCAGAGTGAGCGCCAGTCCCGCATGTAAACACGGAGAGCATTTTTGCACGAATGCTCTAAATTTCAACATACGCTGAATTTGCTAGAAATGCGACTTCCGTGTGAAGTGAAAGGAGACTGCTCTTTCTCTTGTTCGGACGCTTCCCCAGAGTTGTCATAATACTGGAAAATTATGTACTTAACGTCAGCGCCACTGAGGGGCTCGCGTTGCCGACCTGACATTCTCTTTATCGGTTGGCACAGCGGCTGTTGCATTCGGGGGGCTTCTATGGGTGGGCGCAAGCTTCTCGTTATTTTATTATGTCTCCTAGTGGAGTCAATAATAGTATTCACTCCTTGAAATACACATCATCTTAAATTACTTTCCTTATTAGTTTAACCAAAAACTTGCTTAGCTCTTAACGTGTGCCGGTCACTGTTCTAAATGCTTCATGAATAATTACTTGTCCAGTCCTCATGACAGCTCTACGCAGTAAAATGCTGCATAGAAAACACCTCCCTTTGTACTGGGCAGCTAGCTGAGACACAGAGAGGTTAAGTAACTTACCCAAGGTCACGCAGCTGGGACGTACAGAAGCCAGGATTTGAACCAGCATCTGTGCACACTTTACCACTGGCCTATAATGGCTTGCTCTGAAACTTTAGTCAGAGCATTGGCATGGGTTTCTTTTGGGAGTTATATATATATGTATGCCACTTCATTTGAGGGTGACAAAGGGGGATGCAAGACATTTGCTGCCAAGGGGGAGTTGAACAGGCTTCAGAATCACTGGTGGGGGGCTCACGAGAGAGCCTGGGTATGGATATGCTCCCTGAAGGAGGGATATGTGAGAGGGGCAGGGGGCTGGGAACAAACCATGAGACACTCCAACATTTGGGGAGAAAAGAGAGCAAGGAACGGTTAGGAAGGCAGGAGGGAAACCAGGGGACAGACCCTGGAGGGAGCAGGAGACAGTGGGTAAGGCCTCTGGAGACCCCGGGGAAGTCAGGGCTGCAGGTGGTCCCACATTTGGCCACAAGGTGGCGCATGGCGGCTGCGGTACAGGGGCTGGGGGGCGGGGCTTGGATAGGCTCAACCCGGCGCCCTTCTAATCTGGGGCGCATTGTAAAAGCTCCCATGTTTGTGTCTGCACACCCGGAGACTCAGGGGGCTGTGGCGGCCTTGCTATCCTCCTGCCTCACCCGCCCCACCCCGGGGCTGGGCTGCTTGGATCCCTTGGGAACCTCTGAAAAGCAGGATGAAGAGAACTTCGCTCTGCCACTTCAGATCACTCGGCAGTTCGCCTTAACCACAGGGAACGCGGTCCAAGACCGCGGTGGACACCTGCCACCGCGGACGGTACCGGCCCTACAGATGCTATGCTTTCTCCTGTACAGACACCCCTAGAATAACATTTAATTTTGAAACGAGGCACCGTCAGAGATTAGCAACAACAACTACGAATAAAACAGATGGGAATACACGGCAATAAAACTTGTGTGCGCGTGGTGTCTCTTTCGTAACATCTTACTGTTCTGTACTCACCCTTGAGATGACGTGCGATGACGCGATGCCTAAGCGCTGAGATGAAGGAACGTAGGCAGAACCGCATGCAGTTTGGAACTGAAGGATTCCGTATTTCTCGAATCTTCCACTTAATGTTTTCAGGCTGTGGTTGACCACAGGTAACTGACGCTGTGAAAAACAAGCCCACAGATAAGGAGACCCTTCCCTGGTGGGAACTGTTATCACTCCCATCTGTTATTACAGGTGGGGAAACCGAGGCCCAGAGGCGGCAGTCCTGTGCTGAGGTGGCTCTGCCACCAGGGGTGGAACTGGGCTCAAACCCAGAACGACTGAGCTGAGGGGCCAGTGTGGCCCCGTGGCCCACTAAGCCCACTGCTCCCTCCCAGAACGCTCACGGGCCGGCACGAGCAGCCCAGAAGCACCCTCAGTCGCTGCTCAGGTCTGTCCCTCAATGTGCCCTCGATGCCCAGGGCACATGGCGGAGCCACACAGGGCTGGGTGGCCTGAGTCTGTGGTCACTGCATTGGGCCCAACGGGCATGTCCTGGCAGGGACCAGTGGTAGGTCCAGGAAGTCCCTTCAGCACAGGACCCCCCTCCCCTGGAGCTGAGGGCAGTGGGGCAACAGGCTGTTTTTTGAGGTTGCAGTGCCTTTGGGATGACCTGGATTCCCGGGCCCAGGTCGCCTGAAGAACGCATCCTCTCCACCGCATGACACTGCCCTCTGCAGCCTGGAGCAAGCAAACACCAAGTGCAGCAGGAGGCTGTGAGATTAGACAAGGAGGCCTTCCAGCGGGAGGAGCAGGAAAGCTGGCCTGTTAGTGCCGCCCTTCCCTGGGATGGGCTGCCTTGAACTATGGTGAGGTGCCTGGAGTCGCAAACAGCAGAGGAGAGTGAGGGCAAAGGGGAGAAACGGCTGGGCTGGTCAGGGGACGGGGACCTTCTCCTGAGGTGGGACCAAGCAGTGAGGAGCAGGAGGAGCTGCCAGGAGCTGCAGATGCCTGAATGTGGGCGGGGGAGGGGGAGCCGGGCTGCGGGGTGGGGTCCCTTGCTCAGGTGGGAGCTCAGTGGGAGGAGCTGGGGCTTCCGAGCCGACCTCGGAGGTCTGGGAGGTGACTGGTCGCTCAGGCCTGGGCCAGGGGGTGGCCCAGCAGGGCAGGATAACTGAGGACCAGCGAGCAGCCGCCTCACCTGGTGAGAGGGCCCCAAGAACTGACATTTCTCTGAGTGGGCTGCGGCAGCAAAGCTGGGAGGTGGGGGGACGAGGGGGTGGGGGCGCCAGGAGGGACACAGTGGTGGGCACTGAGGTGAGGTCAGACCGGCAGGGGCCTTGGGGAGACTGGGAGGGTCAGACCCCTCCTCCAGAGCCCTCCTGGAGGTGGAGCAGCTTGGGAGGGCCCGGGTTGGGGGAGGAGGCGGGAGAGGAGGGAGGGAGGGAGGGGCCGGGCCTCTGTCCACGGCATTAGTGCTGGTTGGAGGGAGAGGGGGGTGCACCGCCGGCCAGGCCTCCTGTTCCCACGGCAGCGAAGCGTGCTGCCATGGCGCTGGCCGGGCCAGGGACCCAGGACCCCAGGCCCTCAGCCCCTTTCTTGCTGCTGCTGCTGCTCGGGGCCCCTGCCCTCACCCTCGCCCTCGCCCTCCTGGACGGTGAGTTGGGGCACGAGCTGAGGGGGGAGGCCTGGGGCAGGGCCCCATAACAAACACCACAGGCCCTGGGGCTCTTCCTGTGGGTGCCGGCCCCACAGTAGGGCTGGGGTGAGTCACGGGGTGGGGGGGCGTGTGCCACTGTGGGCCATGGAACTCATGTGGAGGCCAGTGTGTCCTGGACTCAGGGGCTGCCGTGTGTTGGGGGCTTTGTGAGGGGCATGTGGGCCGGCTGTGCCGTGGGTGACGGGTGGCCTGGGGCTGGGGACAGCTGGGCTGTGGGGCCTGTGCCAGGCTGTGGTGCGCAGGTGGGTGTGTTAGAGCTGGGAAGTAGGATGAGCTGTCCCGGGTGAGACCACCTGAGGCTTCCTGAGTGTGGAGGGCAGTGTCCTGGGAGCTGGGGGTGGCAGGCAAGTTGTGGGGTGGGCTGAGCCATGTCACAGGAGCCTGGGTGGGGGCAGCAGGCCCCCGCCCAGGGGACTGGGTTGAACAAGGGCAAGGCCCAGGGGAGCCGATGTCTGCCTGTATCCCCCCCACTTGTGGCCCAGCCCTGCCTGTGCTGGGGGCTGCAGGTGGTCTGGGGGGCCTTCCCAAATGCGGCCGAAGGGGCTTCCCGGAGCCAGACCCCATTCGCCAGGCAGTTTTGCTTTTGTCCAAGTGGATTCACGTGTGCGCGCGGGCCTGGAATTCTTCCTGGGGGTCTGGGGGACGCTTTGTCTCGGTCACTATGGCTACTGGGGCCAGGCCTGGGAAGTCCCCTGCCCCCGCCACCGCTGCTGGAGGAGGGAACCAGGGAGGCGGGTGGCTGGGCTCCACCGCCGCTGGGGAAGCCCCCACCTCCTCAGACTCCGGGGGGCGGTCAAGTCCTCCTACACCCCTTTATCCGGCCTCTCATGGGATCTGGCTCACAAAGCCTCCGTCCCCCACTCCCCAGGGGGCCCATGGGGAGGATGAGGACCCTGTTCTGCAGTGGAGGAAACCAAGGCTCAGGGAGGGCTGGAGGCTTATGGGCTGGGTCCCCCCTGCCCCGGCAACTCTGGGGCCCGCCAGAGGAGCTAGAGCCAGCATCCTGCACCGAGGGACGAGAGACCCTGGTCTGTGGGTCCGGTGCCCATCCCCTGTGCTACAGTGTGCACACACGTGTACGTACACATGCAAACCCGCACACACCAATCACATGTGTGCCCACCCTCAAATCACGGCTGCGCACGCACACACCTGCACACTGGCGTGGCACGCACAAGGGCGCACACCAGCACCTGAACCCGTGTCCACAGGCACCATGCACGCACACACCTACAAGTGCCCGCACCACCAGTGTGCGTCCCTCGATGTGTGTGCATTCCCACTCAAATGTGCGTTCACGTGAACGCTGAGGCAGAGTGAGCACACAGCGGATGGATGCCGCAGCCTCAGGCAGACTCACCCACCCCACGCCGCCACGCCAGGGTCTCCAAGGGCAGCCTGGTCCCGTGGTTTCTGTGTGGGGGACCCCTCCCCGGGGGCCCCTGAAACCAGGGCAAGGGCACAGCGGGTGTGAGCATCTCTGACACCAGCGCCGCAGGCCCGAGTGCCAGGAGGCACGGGGCCCAGACGGCATCGCCGGGACAGCTCCATCCTGCAGGGCACGGGGGTCTGCAGCCCTGGGCCCCCAGCTCTGGGGCCTGCCCCCCCGCCGGCCCGGCTCTGCCACAAAGGCCCCACTGGTTGCTAGGAGGGGACCAAGCATCTCAGAGTACAATGGCGCGCGTTGGGCTCTCAGCCCCTCCTGCTCCCCAAACACCAAGGGAGCCCGGCTGACAAAGGGGCAGCAGTCCCGTCCAGAGTCGGCCCCTCCCGCTTCCAGAGCTGGGCGGGGGCCTGCAGGACAGTTGGTGTTCGCCCCCAGCTGAGACTTGGTGACGAACAAACGAATAGCTGCCAGGCTGACCAACGCAACCGAAAGCGATTCTCGTCTCAGCCCTGCGACGGCCGCCGTTCGCAGAGGCCGCAGTGGGGCCCAGAGTCACAGAGCTGGGTGGCAGGGCCAGGACGTCACAGCAGACTGCAGGCCCAGCCGGTGCAAAGTCACATCTCTGTGCCTGTGTGTGAAGGGGACCCACCGACTGACCCCGAGGGCTGAGGAGAATACGGCCTGGTCCTTCCACTTAGGTCTGGCAAGGAATCCCGTTTCAAAGGAAACCTGAGACAAGCCAGAAGCCCGGTTGCAGTTAAAATCGAAATAACTGCTGGTGGCCTGTTGGGCGGCAGGCGAGGGCCCCACCTGCTCCCTCGGACCCTCACTTTGGGGGAGCCTCCCCGCCCACTGCTCTGGGACCGAGGTTTGGAAGCTCTGGGACGTAGCAGTGCCAGGCAGGCGCAGGCCAAAGACCCCCAGCAGTGACTGCTGTGGCCACTGGGATCGAGATTGTGCCTTTTAACCTTGGGGCAAACATCTGTGATTACAGAATCTTCCAAACCTTCCTGCCCGCACGGTGACTCAGTCCCAGCCCCAGGGCCTGCTGACCAGAGGCCAGTGCTTCCCTTCCCCAGGAGCCCCCGCCTGCCAGAACATGGGCCGCTTCTTTCTAAAATGTTTTTTCTCTGTGACTTTTAGATGAAATCTGTTGTTTTCAAGGGGTAACGCTGGGTAATACAAGCGTGCAGGTTCAAGTGTGCGGTTCTGTGACACACCAGCTGGACAGTGCACTGTGTGCCTACCATGCAAAGTCACTGGGTCGCTTCGTAAAGATATCCTTCCTCTAGCCACGTCGAGACAAGAAGCGCCCCCAGTTCCCCCTCAGGAAACAGTGCTCAAGGCGCCGTCAGGCATCGCAGGCCTGTTAGCGACGCCCCAAAGAGGAGTTACCAGCAACGAGTGAGCCAGGCCGAAGCCCATGGGGCTTGGTGCCGGCCAGGCTCCAGGTGGACGCGGAGGATGGCCCGCTCTGCCCGGCAGACACTGGACCTGCATTCTCACGGCCGAGCAGGCCTTTGGAGACCCTTCCAGGGCCCGGGGAGGCAGAGCGGGACCAGAGCCCAGAGGAGACTCCACCCGCGCAGGTTGACGCGTGGGCCTCTCGGAGGTCTGCGGAGGATTGATGTGCCTCTTAGTTTTAGAGGGATGACCCTGGGCAGGTTTGTGATCGCTGGATTGGAAACATAGTTTTCTTTAACAGCACCCATGTCTTCCGGTTTAAATCAATACAATAATGTAACAATACGCGATATGTGTAGGGCAGCCCGCGGCACCGGCTCTGAGACACACTCAGGAAACGGCTGCTGTTTTTGAAAGCCAGTCCCTCCCCTCCCGGAGGCAGCGGGTTCTGGGTCTTCTCTGGGCTGGGCAGCAGGTCCAAGGGGAGGGGCAATGTTAGTTAATCCCTCCCCTGCTAGGTCATCCCAGGCCTGAGAGGTCAGGAGGGATTTGTAAAGATAAGCACAGGCCCCTCATCACCCTGGCAACAGGCCCCACCCCTCCAGCCTGGCCCCTGGGAGGGCCCTTCCTCTGCCCTTACCTCTCCTCCCCACAGGCTTGGGCTGGCGGGGCCTCCTGGGCTCGCTCCTGGGAGACACAGAACGCGAGGTCAGCAGTTCCCAAGCCTTGACTACAAAGGAATCCCCAGGGAGTATGTTGCAATGCAGACTCCTGGGCCCGAGGCCCAGTGGTTCTGAATCTTGCAGTCTGGAGTGGGGCCCAGGAATGAGCATTCTTAATGCAGGCAGAGCGGGGCTGGGTTCCAGAAACTTTGACTGGAGGCTCTGCAGTAGGGAGACCTGGGTTTGGCTTCCAACTCCTCATGGGCTGTGGGGCTGTGTTTCTCCCCTGAGCCTCGCCTTCCTCAACTGTGGCCCAGACGTAAGAGCACCCCCACCTCCTCAGGTAGATATGAGGATTATATGAGATGACACATGCAGGCTTTGGGGGCTCTTGCATGCCTCCTGTGACAGGCAGCTCCCTCCCTCTCCTCCTGGCTCTGACAAAAACTCCTCCCTCACAGGTGGCAGGACGCATCTCCTGGGCTTCTGTCACTTAGGGCCATTGCCCACTTGCACCCACCTTCCCTACTTGCACTGGCCCTATACACCCAGCCTGGTCCTGGCGCTCTGAACTGGAGAGCTCTGAACCAGAGGCAAAGCTCCAGATTGGGGTATGGTCCCTCGGACCACGTGGATGTTGGAATTAAATAGCACAGGCCCAGCAGACAGGCCCTTCCCAGGGGGGCTCTGATTCCCATACTCCTCCTCTCCAGCTGGGCTGGGTCAAGGGACCTGGGTTACAATGGCCAGAGTCCTCAGTGAGGGCCCGCTGGGTGCCAGGGCTGCACTGGGGTCACCTTGGTGGCCCCTTACAACACTCCACGAGGTGGGCACCATTTGCACCCCAAGCCCGGTCTGTCTGGCGCCACACCTGTTCCTATGTGAAGGAGCTCGATTCCCCACCATCACATCCTCTCCCCATGCCCAGCACAGCATCTGGCCCCAGGGGGCGCAGCCACCAGAGTGCGGAGTGCGGCGGGCTGCTCTCTGCCAGCCTTCAGAGGGGCTCAGACACTCCCCGCCCTTGAGCCCGGGACTGCACAGAGGAACAGTGGGCAGAGAGCGTCTGTGGACCCCACGGCCCAGGTGGGCATCTGGCCGGACAGCATTTGAGACTCTGCCCCCCTGTCTGGCCCTGGATCCCGGTGTGGGCCTGGGCGTCAGCGAGCCATGCTGAGCTGTACCAGGTGCTCCAGGGTGGGGTGGAAGCTGAGTCTTCCCCGAGTCTGTGCATCGGTCAGCATTCCCAGACCCCTGTCCCCATGGTGCCTGGCCCAGGCTGGGTGGGTGGGGCCAGCCAGTGGACAGCCCTGCCTGGTGGAATGTGGATGACGCCTGAGAGGCGGCCGAGCCTTATCTGGGGGTCTTCACCAGGGTGGGGGAGGGGAGGTGCAGGGCCTGGTTAGTGTCTGGATGACAACTTGATGGGAGAAGGGGCACCTCTCAGAGCCCCAGGTGGGGGGGGGGGCTCCTTCCTGTGGGCGGCTCCCCTCCCCCATCACTTATTGCATTTCTACAAGTGAGCACTTGACTGCAGCACCTGAGGCTAGAGTCCTAACCCATCCTGCTAGGACACTGGGACTTCTAGAGTCCCCTCTTAGGACTGGGGACCGGAGCTTCGCAGGAGAATGACTAGCCCAAGGTCTGAGAGCTGGCAATTGAGCTGGGCTCTAACCCAGGGCTGTTTCTCTGCAAAGCCCAAGTTCTTACCCCAGAATTACACAGGCAGGCGGGGAGGCAGGGCGAGAGGGAGGCTGGCTCTCTCCCTGGCTGGGCTTCCAGATCAGTAGGTGACCCTCTAGCAGAGGGTGCAGGCAGCACATGGCCAGAACCACGGGTTCAGCCCCCAGGTCTCAGTACCTGTCCTGAACCCTATAACAGGGTCCAGGCGAAGCTGGCTGCTTATGCAGTTGCTGATGGGGTACAACAAGAGCCAGGGACCATGTGAGAGGCTCCCAGGGCGGCCGGGTGGGGAGAAGGGCCTTTGAAGTCCTTCATCTTCAATTTCATGCAGGGATGGAGTTACCAGACCCCCAGTAGGAGCAGGGGAGGGGGCACTGGGAAGAGTTCCTCCTGGGCCTTCTGGGAGGGGGTGGGCCACAGGTGGGAGACCCAAGGAGACCCCTCCCCGGTGGGACTGAAAGGAGCGGGCAGGCCTGGGAGGCTGTCCGGCACTGACTTGCTGTGTGGTCTCAGGCAAGGGCTTCCTTCCTTCCCTGGGCCCCCAACTGCCTTCTTGTACAACGGGCTCGTCAGGGCCCGGCTCAGAAAGGCGCTGCAGGGATGTGATGAGCACAGGACAGCTCGCTAATCCGGAGCAGGGAGCCTGGTGTCCCAGGTCCCACTTCTCTGCCACGGGGGCGGTCCTGAAGCGTCCCAGTTCCGCGTGTAGTTGTGGGCAGCACACTGGGCCCTGGCTGGTTGGCCCTGGCCCACTCTCCATCCTGCAGAGTGTGGGCGGACCCCTGCCGCCCTCTGGCTCTGGGGTCTGGGGATGGAGAGTGTGGGGAGGGGTGTCTGGCAGCCCCTGGCCACCCTGTCTCGTCTCTCTGCAGGAACAGTGACAGCGCAGACCCCAAGTGCCTGCACCTCAGACCCGTGTGCTCCAGGGACCCAGTGCCAGGCCACAGGGAGCGGCGGCTACACCTGCAGGCCCTCGGAGCCCCAGGGCTGTGCCGTGCAGCCCTGCTACCACGGCGCTTTGTGTGTGCCCCAGGGCCCAGGTCCCAGGGACTTCCGCTGCTACTGTGTGCCCGGGTTCCAGGGCCCACGCTGCGAGCTGGACATCGATGAGTGTGCGTCCCGGCCCTGCTACCACGGGGCCACTTGCCACGACCTGGCTGATCGCTACGAGTGCCACTGCCCCCTTGACTATGCAGGTAACGGCCCGGGCTGGGCCCAGAGGTCCGTAATGTCGCTGCTGTCAGTGGCTCAGAGTGCGAAGTCATGAATTCAGCTTTGGCTTTAGTATAGACATCCCGCCCCCTCCCCGCTTCTAGACACCTGGTGACTCTCGGGTTCAGCCACTCCGGGTCTTGCTACAGAGCTGATGCCTCTCGGGCTGACCTGGCAGCTCCGGATGAGAGTGTGAATGGGCAGGGCTGGTGTGGAGCCTGGCACATAACAGGCACTGGACACAGGTTAGCTCAGTCCCTTCAAGAGTTCTGTATGTGCCGGGAACGGACACCCCTCGGGTGGGACGGGAGGCCAGGTGCGCCTGGTTTGCATGCACACCTGGACCGTGTGTCTCACATCTACTCACTCCAGACCTGTGTCAGGCGGTGGTGGAGACACCTTCGGCTCGGGGGGTGATTTTAGAGTACGAACACCCCAGGTACAGTTTGGGTTGTAATGCTCGTCTCGTTCACACTGTAAGGCTGACAGACCCCCACGGCCCCTGCAGTCTCCAGTGGGAAGTGGGCGATAATGTACATCCAAGGCCTGACACTGAGAGAACCTAGCTCCTTCCTCCAGAGGTTGGCCCTGCTCTAGTCCCGTCCGTGCTCCAAGGCCAAAAGCCATCGGAGTGACTGGCGAGGAGCTGGGAAGGAGAGCGCCACTGGGGACAGGTCTGGAAGGTGGCCGGGTCTAGGGCAGCTGGGAGCCTGTACTAGGTGCCTGTACAGACACCCTGGCTTCAGACACCTGAGGGCAGAGGGCAGTGTGAGGGCACCTCAGAGGAAGGGGCACAGACTGGGGGGCAGGGCTCCCAGGCAGGTGCTTACAGTGGAGCAGTGGGTCTCGGCACACAGAGGAAAATGGGTTCTGAAACGGGATGCACGTGTCTTTCTCACCATCCGAGGGCCTCGGTGTCTGGGTAGGTGAGTTGTGTGGTGTGAGTGAGGCCACGCAAAGGGCCTGGGTGTCTGCCAGTGTTTGCAGGTGTCTGGGCTCCTGGAATGCCTCTGTGCTCACACGCTGCGTGCGTGAGGGCCAGCAGGTATGTGCGCGGGCCTGTGGTGCTCAGACGCTCTGGGGAATGCTTTCTGGGTGAGATGTGAGTGGGGGCAGTGTCTGTGTGACTCACTTCTCTGCCCCTCCTTCCGTTCCCAGCCAGGCGGGGGAGGCTGGGATTCCAGGCTGCCTGGGCCTGGCTCCCCCTGGCACAGAGGGTGGGAGCGGGGCCAGGGCAGGAGGAGTGCAGGGTCACAGGAAGGGGGGGCTGTTTTGTGCTCACTGAGCGAGGAAGGGGGTAAGGTTCCTGCTGGAGCCAGCTGGGCCCCTGGTCCCCATGATCGATCCCACGTAGGCGGCAGGGGCAGGGCCACTGGAGTCTACAGTGACAGGTGGGCTCTACAATGAAGTGGGCAGTACATTTCCACACTGGGATGGACTCCCCATCTCCCTTCACCTCCACAGCCCCCGTCCCCCGAGAGCCGCCCAAACCTCTGGGGGTTGCTCAGGACGGAGAGGGTTCCTGGGACTCAAACTTTCTGTTGTAAAAGCAAGATAGCGCAGGGGAAACCAGGAGTTGCTTCCCTGCTGCAGCATCTCCTGCCAGGCTATGTCCCTCTCTGGGGTCCGTCCTTATACCCTCTTCAAAGCCAGAGGACTGCGCCTTTAAAGATGCAAATAGAACCATGTAACTTGGCTGCTCAATACTTTTAGCATACGCCACCTGGTCCTCCCAAGCCTGGCCACCCCGCATGCCAGGCGCACCTCCTCCACTCTCCCCTTAGCTCTCTGGCTTCCTGGGCCCTGCCTGGGGCATCCTGCCTGCCTGCCCCCAAGCAGCTCTTGACCAACAAACAGTCTCTCTTGAACCCAACTGCACAAATAGACCCCTATCCTAGTGGTTTAGAAAGCTCCCCACTCTCCGCGACTCCCCACCCACCTCTGTCCTTCAAAAGGCTTTTTCCAAAAACCTTCCCCTGACTCCCAGCTCCCCAGGCCAACCCTGGCTCTTGCTTTCACAGAATCCAGTACTTCCTCGTTGTTGAGCTTATCAGAATTAAAAATCACTCCTCGTTTAGTTAACATCGACTTAAAGCCCATCTCCTGGGTTAGATACCGGTGAGCTCAAGGGAGCTGGGATGTCTGTCTTTTTGTTTCTACCCTATTACCACTGTTGGCGCGAGAAACACCTACTCGGGGTGAATGAACCAGCAGGCTCTCTTCGTGGACTCTCAGCTTCCGCTCCATGTGACGAACTGGTTCGAGTAGGCCTTACTGGGCCTCTTTCTCACTCCCTCCGGGTGACCTGCCTCTGTCCTCGTCTCTGGCCCTGTCCAGGCGTGAACTGCGAGGTGGAGGTGGACCAGTGTGCCTCGGCGCCCTGTCTGCACGGGGGCTCGTGCCTGGACGGCGTGGGCTCCTACCGCTGCGTGTGCACGCCGGGATACGGGGGCACCAGCTGCCAGCTGGACCTGGACGAGTGCCAGAGCCAGCCGTGCGAGCACGGGGGCGTGTGCCATGACCTGGTCAACGGGTGAGCGTGCGGCCTGGTGCGCGAAGGCGGGAAGGCTGCGCAGTGGGCTGGGGAAGCGGTGGAGGCAGGGGGCTGCAGGCGAGTGCGTGCCCCGCTGCAGGTTCCGGTGCGACTGCTCGGACACTGGTTACGAGGGCGTGCGCTGCGAGCAGGAAGTGCTGGAGTGCGTGTCAATGCCCTGCGCGCACAACGCGTCCTGCCTCGAGGGCCTCAGGAGCTTCCGCTGCCTCTGCTGGCCAGGTGGGTGTGTGCACGAGGGCGCCTGCGCAGGCCGGTGGGCAGGCGCGGCCTGGGGCGGCGGGACCCTTGTGCACCTGTGCGCATGCGCTGTCCGTGGGCCAAGTTTCCCGATCTGAAAAATGGAGCTAATCATAGCAGCTTCCCGCGGGGTTGCTGTGAGAGAGTACAGGTGTAATGCCCACACAGCCCTGGCATGCGGCCTGGCACGTGCAGTCTCTCACTTCTGGCAATACTAGTAAGATGATGCTGAGCTGATTAAGACCGCCATGGTCATCCCCCCCCCCACCCCCCATGAGTCTCCCTCTCTTCTGGGAGGCGGGAACATGGTGTTCTGAGCTGTTGTCCCAACTTGGCCTTGTGACGGCCTGGCATCTGTGGGGCAGGGCTGGGGCGCTGCCTGAGGGCTCCGTGTGACCTGACACCCACGTGTATGTGCCCTTAGGCTACAGTGGTGACCTGTGCGAGGTGGACGAGGACGAATGTGCCTCAGGCCCCTGCCAGCACGGGGGCCAGTGCCTGCCGCGCTCGGACCCGGCCCTCTACGGGGGTGCCCAGGCCGCCTTCTCCGGCGCTTTCAGCTTCCGCGATGCTGCCGGCTTCCTATGCCGCTGCCCTCCGGGCTTCGAGGGTGAGCTCCCCACCCCCTCTCAGGGCAGCAGGTCTGCCTGTATCCAAATGCACCTGGGGGATGCCGGGCTGGGTTCAAGCGCCTCTCTTTGGGCCTCGGTCTCTCCAGCTATAAGACGGGCCCCTCCAGGTGCAGTCTGGCTGAGGGCACAGGTGGGAACCGCAACTGGGCCTCTTGCAGGGGACGACTGCGGTGTGGACGTGGACGAGTGTGCTTCAGGGCCATGCCTCAGTGGAGGCCGCTGCCAGGACCTGCCCAACGGCTTTCAGTGCCACTGTCCGGATGGCTACACAGGTACTGGGGAGGGGTGGGCACGGGCGCAGGAAAGGGTGGAGCCGGTGGGTGTGGGGTGAGAAGGTTCCTCTGGCTGATGTGTGGGGGCCAGACTGATGGGGTATGAGATTAGAGAGGAGGTGGGCACAGTGGCCCAGGTGAGAGCCAAGTTGGGACACAGCTGGGCTTTGGAAGTGGGAGTGGAGATAACCAGTCAGGCTGAGAAAGATTTAGGAGGGACACTGCGCAGGTCCTGACAGTTATCCAGGTGTGAGTGGAAGGCATCACGGGTGCCAGCTGAATTTCTGTCCTGGGTGATGTTGGGATCAGCCTTGTCCACACTGAGGCAGAGTGACTGTGGAGCACCCCCAGAAGGAGCTTGGGTGGGGGCTGCTGGACAGTCTGGGGCCCAGAGGTGTGGCCGGGGCTGGGGTCGGAGACTAGGGGTCAGGAAACTAGGGTCCAAGACTGGGTAGCCCAGGTCATCTGGGAGAAAGTGTGGTGTGATGGGCAAAGAGAACCCCAGGCACCTGACATCAAAGGGCTGGGCAGAGGCCTAGGGGCCTTCGGGAAGGACAGAGGCACTGTGGCCAGGGCAGAGAAGGTGAAGGGGGGGCATTGCAGATAGCTGGGGGCAGTGTCTGCGGAAGGAGGAGCTTGACCTTTGGGGAGCTGGGGTCTGTGAAGCAGGAGCTGGGAGGACAGAAAGCGTCTCCCTGCCTTGGGTGCAGCAGATTCACGGACACACAGACACCCTCCCACTTGGACACTGGCGAACCCAAGGCAGTTCTTACTCACCGAGGGTCCCCACTCCCTCTGGGATGCCTGTGACACTCCCCCACACCGCCCACATTCCTGTGCGGGCACACTGCCTGCTCAGCCCTGCAGGGCTCCTGGGCACAGGCTCACATGCCCGGGGGAGGGGTGGTGGTCGCCACCATCCCCTCTACCCTTCGCCCACCCAACGGCACTGGGACTCAGTGTCTCCACCCTTGGGTGGCCCTTCTTCTGCTCCTGTGGGCTGCGGTTCCCCAGTCCTGCCTCTGGGGTGCCTGGCGCACAGTGGGTCCACCAGACATGCCCTGTCTTTGAAGAGCTTTCCCTGTGCATTTTGTTGCTGCCTCCCCACAGCCCTGTGAGGTGGGGGTTTCAGTCCCCTTGGATAGGGCTACAGAGGCTCTAGAGAGGGGGTGTCATCCCCCCAGATTCCCCAGCATCAGCAGGAGCTGAGCTCAGCTGATGGCTGACAGCGAGGTCAGGGTCCAGGTGGGGGACCCCCCGGTTGTGGGTCTGGGCTCCTTGCCACTGTCCATCCCCATCCTCCCTTTGGGTCGAGCTTGGCATGGGGGAGGCCAGAGCCAGGCATTCCTGAGCCGGCCCTGAAGGAGGCGGCCAGCCCAGGCAGGGAGCTCTGCTCTCCAGCCGCTCCCCCGCCACAGTGCCCGCCCAGTACTCCCAGACATCGGGGAAGTGCAATGGGGCTGTGGGCTCCGTGGACCTTCCTGGAGGTCCTGTGGCTCCTGGCAGGTATGGAGAACAGTGGCTTTGGGCCGGGGAGGTGGAGCTTGCTGTCCTCAGAAGGAGACTATGCTGTTTATGGGCTGACTGGTGGCTTCTTTGGGCCCAAGTTCCTCCAGCTGGGATACAGGAGCTGGGCTGGCCTTGGGGTTTTGTGGGGGCTCCGGCTGAGCTGGGGTTGGGCTGTGAGCTCTGGACCCAGGCTGGGGCCAGAGCACCTGGCCTGGGAGCTCTTGGAGGGAAGGGTGAGGCGACCCCTTCGCAGCCTGTGTGGGGACCTCAGGGCAGAGGGACTGGGAAGTTAGAGCCTGGGGGCTGCTGGGAGCGCCACAGCCGCATATTCCCACCTCTTCCCGCTCCTCCATTTCATCACTCTGTCCACAAAAGCTGCACTGGGTCCTGGCTGGCTCCTGGGGCCAGGCTCCTGGGGGAGATCTCAGCTGCGCAGACACTTCATACAGGGTGCTGGGGCGCTGTGCCTGGAAGTGGGCAAGGAGTTGGGAGTGGCACAGTAGCTTGGGGCTGGGAGTCAGAGGCAGCCTTTTAGGGGATTGGCCCTTTGAGTTTGGGCTTTGCAGGATGAGTAGGAGTTTGAAAGGCAGGGTGAGGGAGGATGAGGCATTCTACGCAGAGGGAACGGTATGAGCAAAGCCCCAGGGTCCGGACTTTCCAGGAAAATCTTGGAGGAACAGGCAGTTTGAGGTTTGTAGGGAGCAGGGTTGAGACTGGAGTGACTGGCAGCGTCCAGCCCGTGTGGAATCTCAACTGCCAGGGGGAGTGACTGGACCTTAAGCAGCAGCGGAGCCTGGCCAGGTGATCTTTAGAAATAGATCTCTGGCTGCTTGTAGGGGTGGATGGTGGGGGTGGGGGACTCTGAAGTCAGGCAGACTGGAGGAAGCCGGACTGTGACCCAGAGAGCGGGTAAGGCAGGAGGGTGCGGTGGGAGAAAGGGCAGATTGGAGAGTGTTTAGGAGATTGAATCCACAGGGCATGGAGACTCACCGGACTGGGCAGAGAAATGGGTATCATGGGTTCCAGCCTCCAGGGACTTCCGGGGACCACGAAAAATCTGTCGGGAATTGGGAATTGGTTTGGTTGGCAGGTACTGAGGTCCCTGTCCCAAGAGGCATGCAAGCTCTGGGTCGAGACTGTGGTTCTGGCCTTGGGTGCTGAGCCGTGGCCTGGTCTCTCCTGAAGGCCTGACGTGCCAGGAAGATGTGGACGAATGTCTGTCCGAGCCCTGCCTCCATGGCGGGGCCTGCGACAACATCGTGGCGGGCTACCTCTGCCGCTGCCCCGAGGCCTGGGGCGGGCGTGACTGTTCCGTGCAGCTCACCGGCTGCCAGGGCCACACTTGCCCACCGGCTGCCACCTGCACCCCTACCTTCGAGTCTGGAGTTCACAGCTATGTCTGCCACTGCCCGCCTGGTTCCCACGGACCCTCGTGTGGCCAGAACACCACCTTCTCGGTCGTGGCCGGGAACCCTGTGCGGGCGTCGGTGCCAGCCGGCGTCCACCTGGGTCTGGCCCTGAGGTTTCGCACCACGCTGCCTGCTGGTTCCTTGGCCATTCGCAGTGACAGGCAGGACAGCTTGAAGCTGGAGCTGGCACTGGCAGCGGCCACACTTCAGGCCACGCTCTGGAGTCACGGTAATGCTGTACTTGTCCTGAGGCTGCCAGACCTGTCCCTAAATGATGGCCAGTGGCACCGAGTGGAGGTGACACTTGGCCTCGGGATCCTGGAGCTGCGGCTCTGGCACGTGGACTGCCCTGCCCAGCTCTGCGTGGCCTCCAGTTCTGCGACCCCGGCTCCTGCCGCCTCCACCGCCGTGCCGCCTGCCGGGTCCTGCTCTGTCCAGCTGGGTGGCGTGGCCTTTGCGGGCTGCCTCCAGGATGTACATGTGGACGGGCACCTCCTGCTGCCTGAAGATCTTGGGGAAAACGTCCTCCTGGGCTGCGAGCGCCGTGAGCAGTGTCAGCCTCCACCCTGCGCCCACGGTGGGGCCTGTGTGGACCTGTGGACCCACTTTTACTGTGACTGTCCCCGGCCCTACAGTGGTCCCACATGCGCTGATGGTGAGGAACAAGCCAAGTGGGCCCCGGGGCAGAGGCCCTGCCTCCCCCAGGCCACAGGCCTTATGCCTGGCACCCTGTCTCCCTGCAGAGGTTCCTGCTGCCACGTTTGGCCTGGGGGGCACCCCGAGCTCCGCATCCTTCCTGCTCCACCAGCTGCCAGGCCCCAACCTCACTGTGTCCTTCCTCCTGCGCACTCGGGAGCCCGCTGGCCTGCTGCTCCAGCTTGCCAATGACTCAGCAGCTACCCTGACCGTGTTCCTGAGTGAGGGCCAGGTCTGGGCCGAGGTGCTGGGCAGTCCTGCTCTGGTGCTTCCCGGGCCCTGGGACGATGGGCTCCGCCACCTCGTGACTCTCAGCTTCGGGTCCGACCAGCTGCAGGGCTTGACGCAGCAGGTGCATGTAGGCGGGCGACTCCCCCCTGCCGATGCCCAGCCCTGGGGGGGGCCCTTCCGAGGTTGCCTCCAGGATCTGCGACTCAATGGCCTCCAGCTCCCCTTCTTCCCACCTCCACCGGGGAACTCAAGCCAGCCCAGGGAGCTGGGCAGCAGGCAGTCCTGGAACCTCACCGTGGGCTGTGTCTCCGAGGACATGTGCAGTGTGAGTGCCCTGCGTCTCCGGGGCAGCATGTCCTTCTCCTGGTGAGGAAAGCACCCTGCCCCAGGTCCCCCGGTCAGAGAGTGGCGGCAGCGAAGGACTCATAGTCATCTGTTCTCTGGCCCAGCTGCTCTTGCCCTCTGGTGGGCCCCATGCCTCTCGCCCAGTCCTTGTCTGAGGCAGACACGTTGAGCCCAGCAGGGGCTGGCCGTCTAAACCTGTATGCAGGAACTGTTGGGGGAGGGGGACAGGGCTCCCTTGGCTCACGAGCAAAGCACCAGCTGGGAAGTAGAAGAGCCTGAGTGTGGACTTGGGCTCCTGCTTTTGCTGGCTGAGTGACTCGGGCAGGTGGCTTCTCTGTGTGCCTCAGTTCCCTGGTCTGGAAAATGGAGGTGTTAGTGGCTTCCTCTCTGTGAGGAGGGAACACATCTGTGGCAGGTGCTCACCTGAGAACCACTGGGGACAGGGGACGGCTGTGGTGGGGTGTGCCTCTGCAGGCCCCCGCCGACCCCTGTCCTGATTCTCCTGCAGCCTGACCCCTGTCTCAATGGTGGGACTTGCCTGGTCACCTGGAATGACTTCCACTGCACCTGCCCTGCCAACTTTACAGGGCCCACGTGTGCCCAGCAGCTGTGGTGTCCTGGCCAGCCCTGCGTCCAGCCTGCCACCTGCGAGGAGGTCCCTGGTGGCTTTGTCTGTGAGTGTGTGCCCTGGGCAGCCCACATGCTGCGTCCTGGACACGCAAGCTGGGTTAGATTCCACCCCTAACCTCAAGGCTCATAGAGGAGCAGGATGCCAACAGTTTCAGCCCAGTGTAGCTGGACCACCGCACCCAGAGGGACAGACTTTCTGGAGGAAGACAGCATTCACCAGCGCTCCCTGTCCCCGCAGGTGTGGCGGAAGCCACGTTCCGAGAGGGCCCTCCGGTCGCATTCAGTGGACACAACGCATCCGCGGAGGGTGAACTCAGTGGTCTCTCTCTCGCCTTCCGCACGCGCGATCCCGAGGCCGGGCTCCTGCGCGCCACCGCGGGCGCCCTCGCAGCTGTCTGGCTGGCCGTGCGCAACGGCTCGCTGGCGGCCGGCGTGCGCAGCGGCCGCGGCCTGCCGAGTGCGGTGCTGCCCGCGCCCAGGCCGCACGTGGCCGACGGCGCCTGGCACCGCGTGAGCCTGGCCATGGAGCGCCCTGCAGCCCCGGCATCGCGCTGGCTGCTGTGGCTGGACGGTGCGGCAACGCCCGTGGCGCTGCACGGCCTGGCCGGTGACCTGTCCTTCCTGCGCGGCCCGGGCGCGGCGCGCGTCCTGCTGGCGGAGAACTTCACCGGCTGCCTGGGCCGCGTGGCGCTCGGAGGCCTCCCGCTGCCCCTGGCGCGCCCGCGCCCCGGCGCCACCCCCGGGTCCGGAGGGCACTTCTCGGCCTGGCCCGGAGCGCCGGCCCCGCACCTCGGCTGCCGCGGGGAGCCCGTGTGCGTCTCCTCGCCCTGCCTGCACGGCGGCGCCTGCCGCGACCTCTTCGACGCCTTCGCCTGCGCCTGCGGCCCGGGCTGGGAAGGCCCGCGCTGTGAGGCCCGCGCCGACCCGTGCCGCTCGGCCCCCTGCGTCCGCGGCCGCTGCCAGGCGCACCCCGACGGCCACTTCGAGTGCCGCTGCCCGCCGGGCTTCGCGGGACCGCGCTGCAGGTGCGGGGGCGGGTCGGCCGGGTTCCGTGGGTCGGTGGGGTGACCGGAGCGGGCACATGTTTGCTGGTGAGAGGCCGGCGGGGAGGGGGCGACCAGGGTCGGGCAGAGGGTCTGCGGGCCAGCCCCTTCCCTCCTCTGAGCCTGCGCGCCCGCGCTGTGAACGGGAGCCACAGCCCCTAGACTTGCCAGATAAGATACAGGCCGCCCGGATAAATTTGGATTTCCGATAAACAGCCTCTCGTCTAGGTCTGGGCGGTGGGGCAACCCAGAGCTGGTCTTGGAAGGAAACCGTGGCTGAGGCTTTCCTGCCCAGCTGCCCCCACTGGTGTTCACTCGTTAGTCTGCGGGTCCGGCAGAGTGAGATGGTCCCCTGTTCATTCTGGCGCTGACACCCATTCTCTTTGGAGCCGCGCTTATGGTGGGAGGCTGGTGGATGGGAGGTTGGTGGAAGGTTGTGGGGTGGGGGGCTGACTTCCCCATCTCTCCCCCCCACCCTGCCCCCCCACCCCCAAATGTGAGGCCCAAGTTTCATGTTTAGGAATCTGCTTTTGTTCCAAGGAGAGTCCTTTTTCCATCGTGTCAGCTTCTCCAAGGACCATGGGAGAGAGTCCCAGGCTGGGGGGAGAGGTCGCACACCTGGGGGTGGGGCTGGAGCGGCAGAGTGGCCGCCCTGTGTCCCTTCCCTTCCTCCTCACAGCCCACTTCCATGACTGATATCAGGGACTGTGGGAGGTGGGCCCTGAATTCCACAGATGACAACACAGAGGCCCCAGTGGCCTGTGGTCACGGCAGCGGGTGGGCAGGCCCCAGGCCCCCAGTCCAGCTCCGTGCTCTCTCCCCAGGTGGCCTGTTGTGCCAGAGGAATGCAGCCTGAACATCACCTGCCTTGCTGGCGGCCCCTGTGAGGATGGGCCTCGGGGTGTCAACTGCAGCTGCCAGGAGGGCTTTGCTGGCCAGAGGTGGGTTTGGGGGCTGGATGGGGGGAGAGCATGGAGAGCTGGGCGGGGTGGGTGAGGTCGGGTACTCACTTTCTGAGCCCTCACTGTGATCACAGTGCCAGACAGGCCGCTCTTGTCACTTCCTGGAGCTTCCCGGACCGTCCTCTGCTGTGTAGACGCAGGCAGGGGAGCAGTTGCCTAGAGGGGCTTCCCAGAGTGCCTTGCACAGGCACCTGCGCCAGGACCAACTGCCTGGGGAGGCTGTAGAGGTGCAGGTTCTGAGTCCCTGCAGACGGGGAGTCAGCCCCCGGGCCTTTACGCAGGCTCTCCTGTGCTTCTGGGGAGTGAGAGTCATTTTTGTCACGAATGCTGGGGCAAAGGTGGGTGGCAGGTGACAGAGGTCACACTGAGCCTGGGCACCTGGCAGGGCTCTGCCAGGCAGGGACAGGGACACCTGTGAAGGGGGTTTGAGGAGCTAAGTAAAGCAGCTGGGGGAACAGGCGTGGGAGGAAGCAGTTCCCTCCACCCTGACCCTCTCCTCTGCCTCCCAGGTGTCAGATCTCCTGTGAAACCAACCCCTGCTTGAACGGGGGCACCTGCCGGGTGGCGGGCGGCGTGTATGAATGCATCTGCAGCCCGAGGTTCTCTGGCCAGTTCTGCCAAGTGGTGGTGAGTTGTGCCGGAGGTGGGGCGTGTGCCGCAGCTGGTCCTGGACCAGCCTGTTGTGGGGTGGGCAGCAGCGGGGGAGACTCAGGTCCCTTCCGTGCCCCCCTCCCCAGCAGGAGGCATTGTCATTCTGGGGAGAGCTGGGGGACCCTGCCACTCCTCTGGGGACTGGAGGTGAAACATTTGGGTTCTCCAAGTCCGACCTGCGACAGGATTCAGGACCCACAGGATCTCGGAATTCTGGGATTTGGTGAACAAGGGTCTGTGATCTCCAGGGCGGTCTGGGCCAGGATTCTAGAGCAGGAAGGCCCAGGGAGCCTGGGGTTCGGAGCCCAGGGCTTGGCCGCTGTGCAGGCAGCTGCAGACCCCAGGGAGCTGAGGGGGTCCCACAGGCAGCTTGAGCTTGAACCTCTCCACTGCCGCCTCCCCACCAGGGGCCGGGGTTGGCCCAGCAGTGAGCCCACAGTTGGCGTGGGAGGGGGCGGGAGGGGCAGTGGGCAGGGAAGCCTGGGCGGAGGCCTTGATCTCCACAGGCTGCTGGCAGCCTGGGTCGTAAACCTGCAAATCCCCTCTGCTTCTGGGGACTGTTTCCTTTCAAGTGGGACTTTTACAGCCTCTGGCTCCCAGCCCATCTTCCCAGAGCAGGGAGATAATGGCTTTACACCTCCCCCAGAAGTGCCCGGGGTGCGGGCTGGTGAGTGCCCACTCGGGGCTGGACCTGGACCGGCTTTTATCTCCAGCCTTGGGACCCTTCTCCAGGCTGTGTCCTAGGGCTTGGGACGCAGGTCCCAGTGGGCTCAGAGGCCTCTCAGAACGGAGGGAGCCCTGTGGCTCTGGAATCCTGTGATTCTGAGACTTCAGAATTGCAGCCTTGTAAGATCTTTGATGGGTGCCCCCAAAGCCTGGTCTGGCCCCCCTGGTCGGGGGCTGGGCAGGCCCTGCTGGGTTCTGGGCGCATCTCTGCCCATGAGTCTCTGTGGTTGCTGCCTGAGGTCCCTCCCACTTTGGGGTTAAGCATGGTTGGCCTCCATAGACTCCCTGAAACACCAGGCCACCCTTCAGGGTGGGGAGGGGTCAAGTCCCCATGGCCTCAGATTGAACGAGTTTATTGTGGGGAGGAGGTGGCCAAATGGCCAGGCTGGGCGCTGAGACTCAGGTTGGCCAGTGATGGAAGGGCATGGGCGGGAGGCTGAAGCTCGGGGAGATGGCAAGGTGCTGGGGGCAGACGGAGAAGTGCAGCCCCAGTGTGCCACCAACTGGTCTGGCGTGTGCAGGGAATCTGGGCACAGCCTGTCTTCTCACCTACTACTTACCGAGCGCCTAATATGCAGGGCCTGCTCCGGGCACTTTGGAGACATCAGTGGCCCGGACAGACCGACTTGGGGCTCCGGGTGGCGAGGAGGTGGCCTCTGCCGCTCCATCGTGCGGGGTGTGGTGTCTGTGGAGTCCCATGCGGCCCCCCACATGGTGGGCTCGGCTCAGACTAGGTGTCAGTCATCGCGTTCTCTCCTTCTGGCCAGAACCCCTTTGTCACGTAGGACTCCCCTTGCAGTGGCTCTGACGGGTGGCTCCCTGGCACCTGCCTGCACACCCCTGGGGCCGGGGCTCTCACTGTCTCCCAGGGAAGCCCGTCACTACTCTCATTTTCTCTGAGGAGTCCCAGGCCCCTGTACTCTCCTCCCCTCCTCCGCCGTCTGAGGCTTCCTTGTCGCACGTCTTGCAGAAGAGCCTGCCGCTGCCGCTGCCATTCCCGCTGCTGGAGGTGGTGGTGCCCGCAGCCTGCGCCTGCCTCCTCCTCCTCCTCCTGGGCCTCCTCTCAGGGATCCTGGCGGCCCGGAAGCGCCGCCAGTCAGAGGGTACCTACAGCCCAAGCCAGCAGGAGGTGGCCGGGGCCCGGCTGGAGATGGACAGAGTCCTCAAGGTGCCGCCCGAGGAGAGACTCATCTAGGCCTCCCTGGCTACCGGCTCCAGCACTGTGAGGTCATGAACAGTTTCTGCCTGGACGCCAGAGGAAGCCCCTTCCAGGAGCCAGCAGGGAAGTGGCCCCCCCACCGGCCTGGGGGAGCTGCTGCAGGGCACAGGGTACCTGCTGGGGAAGTGTCCTCTTTGCTGGCAGCCCCTGCCTCTGTCCCTCTGAGGAGGGAGGAAGAGGGGACCACTCAGGGCAGCAGAGGGGCCGGGCGAGGGGTGCAGCTGTGCAGGCAGGGCACACGTGCACAGGGTGTGTCCAGGGTGTGTGTGTGTGCACCTGGGACTGTTGGTCTGCAGACACCGGTGTGTGTGTGGGGGGCTGGGCTTGAGGGCACACCCATGTTTTTGCTGTGTGTGCACAACTGTGGTGGGCCAGGCCATCCCATGGAGTGGGGAGGCTGGGTTGTGGGGACCACTGCACAGCTATGGGGAGGGGCAACCCAAGGCTGCACTGCTTCTAGAGGCCAGGCTGGGGCTTGCCGAAGGAGGGGGCCCCGGTTCCCAAATCTCCCACCTCTGGGGGCTGCCCCTCCCCGGGTCGGAGGCCGAGGGGAATAAGGGAGACTGTAGCCAGAGGCCACATGGACTCCTGGCTCCCAGAACAGATGATGCTTTGGGCAGACGAGCCTCTGCCTTGAGCCGGAGCCAGGCCCCTCAGGAACACAGATGATAGCCAGGGCGGAGGGAGGTACAGAGAGCAGAGCACAGGCTGCCCAGGGTGTGTGGGGGTCTGCAGCCCCTCCTCGGGGTCTGGCATCTGTAGGTAGAGCGGGGAAGGTGGCCCTGTGCACCCCACTGGGCTGCTGTGAGCATCTGTGGTAGGGATGAGAACTTGACGTCATTAAATGCTGGCCCGCTGGGAAGGGCTGTCCGGTCATCCTTTTAGAAGTCAGGAGTTGAAGGAAAGATGGGGGGTGGGGGTAGGGCCTCCCTGGGTGCTGAGGATGAAGGAACGACCCCTCTCCCACCCCACCCAGCCCTCCCGCCTCTGGGTTCTCCAGCCCCTCCGGAGCCAGTGCTTCCCTCTGAAGCCTCCGCGGAGACACTCCTCCGCCTGCAGGCAGTCCCCTCTGTGCCTGGCCGCTGGAGGATGGGGTGGACTCCAGGAAGCTCTTGGCTGCGAGCCGAGGATGCTGGCACCACCGGGCCGGCTGCTCCTGCAGACAGACACACGCAGGAAGAACCCGCTGCTTTGCCTCCGTCTCCTCCTCTGTGGTGCCATCACGCTGGGACCTCTGATCCCTGAGGGCACCTGCCTCCGGGCACAAACTTCCAGGTGTCCCCTGAACTTGCTCCTTCCTGGAGCCTTGGAGCCCTCAGTGCCACTGGTGACTGGTGACCTGCAGCGCTGCTCTGTGGACCCAGCAGGCCTATGACTAGCTCACCCGATGCCTTGCTTGGGAGGGGAGGGGCCCGTTTGGGCTCAGAGGCCCCAGTGGGAACAGGCTTGAGTGGGCCAGGGGCAGACCTCCCCTCGCTGCCCCGGGCCCTGGCCCTGCCTCTACAGAGGGGTGCTGAAGATGGCTGGGGCCTCCCTCACCCCGACTTCCTCAAGGACACAGGGATACCAGACTTCTCCCCAAGAAGGTTTTATTGAACACATACACACTTCCTTGGGTTTGCAAGTTCACCCTGGCACGCTAAGAGATGGCAGTGCCACCAGATGCCACAGGGTCAGAGATCAAGGGGTGGGCTGTCTCACCCCCAGCAGTGATCAGGGGCCTGCCTGGGATGGGTGGGCCTGGGGTCTGTTTGGAAACACCCGAGTGTCCTGGAGGTCCCTGCAGGCCTGGATATGGGGCACCTCCCCCGCCTCCACCCTGTCGGAGCAGACCTCAGGGCCAGACCTCCACCCGGGGGGTGGCCTCCAGCCCCTCAGTTACTAGGGTTCCCTGGGGTCTGGGGACCTCCATGAAGCCCTTGCCCTGTCGGACACCTCTGCGACTGTCTGACTGTCCACAAATAGGAAATGAGAAATAGGTCAAAATGCTCACAATTTCCTGCATGTCTCAGACGGTTGTTTTCTTAAATGGTTGGGTCACATTTCAACTTGGTTTATTGAAACTAGTCAATTTCAAGATTCATCAAATCAATAAAATAAAAAGGAAAAGATAAAAGAAACAATAACAAAACATTTCAATTTAGCTTTGGTGATGTTGGCCTCAGGAATTTCTGTCTGGCAAGAATCTTGATGGGGGCAGGCAGGGATTCTCCCAGCCCTCCTGCCTCTGGCCTGCAGGAAGCCACCTGTGCACTCCCCGCTGGGCCTGGGGAAGGGGCTCCGGCCCTGCTCCATCCTGGCTCGGGGAGCTGGGAAGTTAGGATGGCTTGCTTGGCTGGCCCCAGCCGGCCCACCAGATAGAGGCTGCATTTCCTGTGATAGAAGCAAGTTCAGGAGAACCTGCAAGGATCAAGGGAGAGCGCCAGACAGCGTCTGATTCCAGCCTCAGCGAATTCATGTGGACCTGTGGCTAGTTTTTCGTCTACAAATCAGTTGCTGGTGCTCTCAGCCCCCACACGGGGCTGGCTGGCTGGGGCTGGGATTGGTTATCATGTGGGATCTCAAGGGTCCCTCAGTCCCCAAATCCCCACCAAGCCAGAAAGAGCTGGAGTTTGGGGGTTGGGGTGAAGACTTACAAAAAACGAGTGCGCATATTGCTAGAGGGTGGAAAGGCCCCGCCAGGTAGATCATCCTTCTAACTCAAACCCTGCATGTTTCATGCGGACAAGCTCACGCTGAGGGCACCGCTGACACCTGCGCCTGTCGAGGTGGGATGTTCAAGGCTGGGCCAGTCAGGACAGGACTGGTCTGGGGCGACCCTTGGCCCAGCCAACCTCTTTAGTGCAAAACCCAACAGGGGTGCTGGGGAGGGTGGGGTGGGTGCCCAGGAGCTGGGTTGAGTCCCAGACCACAGCTGGTGCCTTTGCCCCGCGGTGAGACCTCAGAGCTGGGTGGCGTGGAAGGGAGGAGGGGTGGCAAAGAGGGCCTGTGCCTTCCCACCAGCAGAGCCCGGGCAGAAACAGCGAGAAGAAAAGGAGGGCCAGCTGGCCTAAGAGCCCAGTGGTGTGGATACACCATGCAGACACACCACTCAGTCCTCGGCTGCCCCAGCCCTCGGTGCCCAGCTCACTCGAAGGTCTCCCACTGCTTCCTGAGCTGCTCCACTGACCCTGGGGCTGGGGCGGGGGCGGGGGCGGGGGTGGGGGCTGGGGCCTGAGCCGGGCTCACGTCTTGCTTGGTTTTCTGAAGCAAGTCTTCAAAGGGGTCTCTGGCCTCCTGAGTAGCAGAGGACTGCAGTGCTGGCTCCTGGCCCTGGGGGTGTCTGGGAGGAAGGAGTGGGGGATCCCCAGGCCTAAGGGCCAGCCCCTGCATGGCCTCAGCAGCTCTGGCACTTGAACGGACCAAGGGCAACGTTCGGATCCTTGAAGGGGCAACTGTGGGGGGGCCCAGTGGCTGCAGGGGGCTGGTGTGGGCCCCCATGGGCACCTGGCCAAAGAGATTGGGCATGGAGAGGGCAGACAGGCTGGGCTGGGACCTGGGTGGGATGCAGAAGCCAGGGCTGGACAGTAGGAGGCTGGGGGCAAAGGCTGGCCCCAGGGAAGCAGGAGGGGCCCCAAAAGGCCGGGCTGGTGTGGACAGCAGAGACACGGCAGGCAGTGCCGCTGGCACAGATGGGACAAAGGGGTTGAGCGATGGCTGCAGAAATGGAGTGGGGGTCCCCACGGTGGGGAAGCTGAACTGAGGGGTGACTGGGGGGGCTACATTCGGGGCTGCAGGGCCTGGCAGAGCAGCGCTGCCTGGCCAGGCTGTGCTGAGAGGATCCAAAAGAGCCAGCAGGGCGTCGCTGTCAGTGGCCGAGGCCCCTGGGGCCAGGCTGAGCGGCTGGAGCGACTTGGTGGAGCCTTGGGGGGTGGCACTGGGGAGCGGGCCAGTGCGCCTTTCATGCTCGGCCTGCAGCCACTCTGAGGAGAAGTCACCAAGGGCGGCACTGGCAGCCTGGAGCTTGGCCGGGCGGGCGGTGGGAGGCGGGGGCACGATGCCCAGCTCTGGTGTCTTCCTGCCCTGGGGCCGGGGAATGGTGATGCTTCCCGGAGTTGGGGTGGGTGCCGCCTCCTTGTCATTGTGGTTCAGGATGCTGTCCCAGTCCTGGGGCCTGCGGGGCAGGGCTAGGGAGTCCCCCAGCAAGGCTGAGGGCTTCTCAGGGGAGGTGGCCAGGGCCTTGCTGCAGATGGCCATGTCGTCCTGGCCCAGGCTCCAGAGCTTGTTGTACGGGTGAGCGAGCCTCCAGGCCCCCGGCATCCCATGGCTCCTCTCACTCCGGCCCAGGTCCAGCCTCTGTGGGAGGGAACGAGGGAGGTAGTGACCACAGGCCGCCCTGGGACAGCCGGGAAGGCAGCATGTCGCACCCCTCCACCCCCCAGTGCACCGGGCACGCACTGGGGTCAGCCCCCTGGGACTTGGAGCTGCTGGGGCTCAGCCTAGCCACCAGCAGAGAGCCCGGGGCTGCCCGGACCCCACACCCAGGCTGCTGTATGGTGCACAGGGTTCTGGAGAAAGCCCCGCCCTTGTGTGCCAGGGCTGCTAAAAAGCTTCAGGGAAATGACTCTGTTTATGGACCGTCTGCTGGTCGGGCCCTTCCCCCTTCCACAGCATGTGGGTGCATCCTACCATGGGTGAGCCCAGGAGGGCGAGTGAGGCTCAGGGCTCTGGTGAAGGCGCCCTGGTGGGGGAGGAAACAAGCTCCACGGCCTGGGCCTCACCTCCCTCCTCTTGGGGGCCCTGTACGTCAGAGGGTGCATGGGAGCTCCGTGAGCCGCCCGAGTGACCAGTCAGCAGCCCCACTCGAGTGAAGACACAGGCACCGAGGGGGATGGGACAGACTGTGGGTCACAGCGGGAGACCCAGGCTGTCTGCAGTAATTCAGAACCCAGGGATTTTTATTTTGAGTCTCTCAGAGGGGTCTTCTCTGGTGGGGATGGAGCAACCCCACTTGCCCCAGGGGTTCCTGGGAGAGTGTCCTGGAGCAGCCCTGCACCTCCACCTCTCTCTGCTGCACAAATGGGAGGGCGGATTTCCACCACGTCTAGAACCTTCTCCAGCAATCACGGAGAAGTCGGTCTGGCTGCTGGCTTGCCTGGCAGGGACTATAGTCAGCCTGACCCTGAACATTGCTGAGGACCAAGGAAAAGTCACTGTCACGTGGGGAGACCTATTCAGCTGTGACAGCCCCAGCCCCAGCAGGTACCTGCCCCTACCATACCTGATAGTCAAAGGTCCCCTGCTGTTCCCTCAGGTCTTTGGGGGTTCGAAGGTCCTCCAGGCTCTTGGCCTGGCTCAGGGGCTGCAGCGGCACCTCCAAGTCCAGGCTGCTGAAGACGTCTTCCAGGAGGTCAATGCTGGCGGCCCGGTCAGGCGGAGCTGGGGCAAAGCCCACGGGCTCCCTTGCTTGCTGCTCTGGGCTCTCTGCCTCGTCACCTTCTGCGCTGTCTGATTCCTTGAGCGTCCGATATGGCTGCGGCCTGGGAAGAGGCAGAGCAGGCTGGACCCCCCACCCACAGTCTCTGTGGGACGAGCAAGCAGGCCCCACCCCCAGCAACTCCCAGGTCTCGAGGACGGACGTGCCCAAGAGCCTGGGGGACAGGGGAGTGTCTTGGGGTCTCTGAGTGCAGGAGCCTGGGCAGTGGCACTGACAGACCAGGGCTAAATCTGGGTTCTGCCTGTCACTGGGGCACCCTGGGCGAGTCTCTCTGGCTCCCACTGGCACTGGGGAACCCACTTAGTACCCCCGACACCACAGGACCCATCAGATAACTGGCTGGTGGACTCAGGCCAAGGTGTGAGGAAGGAGACACAAGTGGAAGGGGAACTGGCTCCTTCCCAGGCTGTGGCAGTCAGGTCTGGGGAATGGCTTTTGGGAACTAAGTTGGGGAACTCCCCAGGGCAGCGGCCCAGCACACCCCAGGATCCTCAGGGGGAACCCTCTGGGTCTCAACCTGTACTGACCTTGGTTCCAGCTCTGGTGGTGCCATCTCTTGCTGTGAGACCTTGGGCAAGTCACTTAACCTCTCTGAGCCTCAGTAGCTCCTCATTCCAGAGTGTACCTCCCTTGCGGGCAGTGATAAGCACCAGGTGCCTAGTGCCAGCAGGCATGTAGAGGCTAACAGCTTTCTGTACATTCATGCACCAAAACTTGGATTCGGTGACAAAGTGTTCGTTTCTTACAAGCCTGAGTCCCAGGGCACCACCGCACTCCTGGAGAGCAGCGCTGGGTGAACCCTGATCTCTAGTGGGCCTGGGCCAGAGCAGTGTCCCACCTCTGCTCAGCATGGGACTGGCATGGGCTGGGACCGCCAGGTGGGCAGAACTGCCTTGGGCTCTGGGGAAGTGGGGGAAGGCTGCCACCTGGTGGCCCCTGAGGCTCACTTGCAGGAACCAGGCAGGAAACACAGACAGTGGAAGGAGAAGGGGGCTCAGGAACTCCTGAGCCAGCACTCCATCAACCTGTAACATCTCCCTGAAGTAATACAAGCAGCCCATGAAGTAGACTCTCATTCCTGCTTCACGGATGAGGACACTGAGGCTCAGAGAGGCTAAGTAACTCACCTATGTCACACAGCACTTGGCAAGAGGTAGAAATAGAAGCCAAGTAGGAGAGACTTTAAAAGCTCCTCACTTCATAAACCCTCTGTACAGGGAATTAAAGCCCCTTTAACCAAGTCTGAACACAGACAAGGAGATAAAGAAAAATCAGTGTGCTTCTCGCAGTCAAGGAAACAGCGTCCATGAAAAACAGCCCATTTTGTTTTGAGTTAAGAAGGACCAGTTCTGTTGTAAACATGCATTTCAAAAGCGCATACTTTTCATAGGTCTTGACTAAAGGAGCGAGCACTATCCATTATTTAAATACTTAAGGCACCGATTAATTTAAAAAGAACACGCGCCCTGCCGGATGCTGTGGTGGGGGGTCCTGGAGAGCACCTGCCACCTCTGCCTGCACGCTGGCTTTAAGTTGGTGTATGGCTGAATGTTTCTTATTCTAATGGTTCTGTCTTTAATTAATAGTAGAAATAATAACTAATACATTAGAGCTATGATATGAGAGATATCATTGCCTAGGAAAAGGCTAATTTTTACAAGTTTTACAAGAAAAAATTTTAAAAGATCCCCTGTACAGAAAAGGCGGCATGTGGAGCTCAGGCGGCAAGGGCTGAGCGGCTCTTTCTGAGTGAGGACACTGGGGGGGGGCAAGTGCCCCTGGTCACAGGTGAGGTGGTGTCAGAAAGGGCCAGAGCCCTTTCATCTGCCCCCGCCCCTCAGGAGTGGCGGTAGAGCAGGGACATGGAGGGCGTGAACCCCTCTTCTGTAAACGCTGTACCTGTTCATTCCCTAGGGCACATGCGGGCCCCCTGGGTGCTCAGCAAAGGGCAACCCCTTCCCTTAAGGCTCCCATAAACACCTTACCGCCCTTAACAAACACAGACAGGTGCTGTGTCCCTTTGCTCCATCCCAGGTACGGACAACTTGTGGGTGGAGGGACAACGACTGTCAAAAAAGGGAACTAGAAAAGTTTAATTTGGGGTGGTGGTGGCTGGATTGTGGTGAACCTTTTTATTGTAACTCATGCTTAGCATGAGGCTTAGGCTACAAATAATAAAACTTTTAAAGTCAGATCTGTAACACATTTGGATATGTCAGCATTAATATACACATTTCATAGCAATAAGTTTTTCTTGTTTTAAACTTAAAATCTGACCCTCCATCCCCATGGCTTTCCCAGATGTGCACAGTGAGGGACTTGGGCATCACTGACCAGGCAATTGTGGTCACCCATTCCCTTAACAATCACGGTCACTCGAGGAACCCGCATAAGGGGCGGGGACCGTGCTCCTGTCTCGCACCTTTAGAGTACTGTCACTCTTGTCAGCTTGCTCCACCGCCACCGCCCGGGGGCGCTGGCAGAACGGACACCCTGGGGAGAGGAGCACAGAGGCGGTGCCCTGCAAGCTGGTGCTGGGGCACTAGAAGGCAGCAGCTCCTGAACCGCCCCCCCCCCCACACACACACGTAAGGGCAAGCAGCGCCGGCCCCGTCCCGGGGAAATGGAAGAAGGAAGGAGAGACCATTCAAAGGGAGCGGAGAAGAAAAAGCTTTCGGTGAAGCCAGAGCTCAGGCCCTCTTCCCGCCGGCATTCCTCGTCAGAGGAGTCTTCGGAGAGGAAGACCGCGTAGTGTCGCAGGGGCTTTACCAGGCTGGGGCGGAGGGAGACAGAGAGAAGAGAAGAGTTAGGCGGCGCCTCCACAGTCCACGCGGCTGGGTGGGGGGAGCGGCCGCGGTGAGGCCGGAGGGCGCCAGAGGCCGACAGGCCCCGAGGCAAGGAAGCTGGTCCCACACGGAAACCAGGCTTAAACGCACGATCCGGCATCTGGGACGGGACGATCCCACTTCCACTTGGATGGCCCCAAACGCGGCCAAGCACTGCGCACACAGATGTCTACCACTGCTACGTTTATAACATTAAACATGGAACTGCCCGAATTTCCAGCAAAAGGAAGCTGGCGAAGTGAATCATGTACTGTTGGCTGAACATTATCCTTCCAGTAACTACAGTGTTTATAAAGGAAAACCTACAAGTCAGGACGCAGACTTCTAGGCGAGTGCAGCGCATTCGCTCTCGCCCGCCGGAGGACGGCGCTCGGACAAGAGGCTGGAAAGGTGTGCGTCTAACCGGCCGCCGCAGCGGGCCGGCGCATGCGTGATGTCCGCCCTGCCTCTTCCACTCTCCTGTGTCTTCTCTGTTTTCTCCGGCGCGCATCTGTTTCAGCAACCGGGGAAAACTGAGCAGTCGGGGAAGAAAGTGAGACACAGGGGCGAGCACTTTCGAGAGGGCCTTTCTGAGGAGTGGCCGCTCTCTGGTGTCTCCCTCAGATGCTTCCTCAGAGAGTGTTTTTTCATCTGTGATGTGGAAATTAAATATTCATTGTTATAAAAAATGCATCTCGCTAGTCAGCCACCTGTGAGCTCTACCTCTATAAACACAAACACACACACAGCCCAGAGAAACTCCACGCCGGCTCCTATGAATTATACACCGATCAGGGCCCACAAGAGGCCTGTGCTTAGCCCGAGCAGCTGGACCGGGCAGCCCTCGGTTCAAACCCCAGCCCTGCGGCCGATGCCTGAGGCCCTGGCCGTGAGCGGGCTGCCCATGCGGCTGCCCTGCAGAGCAGGTGGGCACGTGCCGAGAATCCCTGGAGAGGACGGTGAAGTTTGGGGAGAGGGCGGTAGGAGACACTGGGTTGTCTGAGGGGGGGCCCTCTCCTATCCCCCACCCCCAGCCACAACAGTCTCCTTTCTTTGCTTTATATGATACAATTCCATTCAGGGTTCGCCCTCACCGGCAGGAAAAAGCAGCATGTCTAAAAACATGCACGGGAACCCCGACTGGAGGGTAAGTGAGGAACAGCAGCTGCCCCCAGGGGACTGGGAGAGTGGGTGTGACCCGTCCCGGCTGCTACGCCAGCTCTCGCCCGAGAACATGCTCTTCTCCAAAGCGGCACCAGAGCTGGCTCCCCGGCTGCACAGCGCCTGGCGCGTCTGCACCCGAGCCCCCCAGTTCCCTCGCATCCTCCCCGCAAGTGAGCCAGGCAGAGATTTCCCTTCTCCTGAAGTGGGAGGTGAACAAGGCACAGAGAGAGAATGCCACTTGCCCAGGGTCACTCACAGGGAGGTGGCAGGTCACAGAGCTCCTTTCTTCTTCCAGGTCGCCGAGGTGGGGCGTTTTCCTCTGGACTCAGGAGGGCAGGGAGACTTCATTTGCAGAAATGTGCCTCAGCTGCCTCAGGACAAGGCTGCCTGGCTCCCCCACTTCCACCAGGACATAAAACAAGGCGCAGAGTGGAAGGTCCGCTCCCCACACAGCTGCCGGAATCCTGTTCTGAGTCACAAACCCGACCCTGACACTCTCCTGCTTAACACCTGTGAACCTGCTGCTCCACACTGCACTTTCTTGGCAATCAGTAGTGTGGTGGGTAAACCCAGTGAGCGAAGTGTTAGGAACAATAATGTTCTGCCGTTTGCAGAATGATAGCCTGGGTGGGCGGGGCTGAAGGCTGAAAAGCCCCAAGTCCGAGCTCCAGGCAGGGCAGACGCTGGGCTGCCCCACACACCACCTGCCTGGTGTCTGCCTGGCCCTCTGACTGCACTTTGGTCTAGAAGGCTCAGCCCAGACAGCACTGAGAAAGCCTTCCTGGAGTTCCCAGCTGGAGCTTTGTCCCTGGATGGTCGGCTTCCCCTGGTGCTTCACCACTTCACTGCTGCCATCTGACCTCCTACAGGTCTGTTTCCGAGCTGAGCTCACAGGCAGGGCCTGGGCACAGCATCAGCATAGTGAGTCTGCCGACTGAGTGGATGGAAGCCGGCGTGCCAGGGGGACAAGGCGCTGCCCCATTTCACTGTCTTCCCAGAGCCCCAACACAGCAGGCACCCCTTCCGCACCGGCAGTCACAGAGTGGGCTGGCGCTGCGGTGAGCTGGAGGGGTGGGGGGAGCCCTGCTGTCCAGCTCCCTCTCTGGCCGGCTCTCCTGGCTGGACCGGGCTCACTGGGCAGCTTGTGGCTGCTGTGTACAAGTGTCCCTTCTCTGCCCTGGCTGGGTGGCTCAGATGGTTGAAGCATCATCCACACACCAATGGTTTCAGTTTGATCCCTGGTTGGGGCGTGTACAGGAGGCAGCCAGTCACTGTTCCTCTCTCCCTGCCCCCTCTCTAAAATCAATAAACATTATCTTCCTTTCACATGCTGAGACTGGTAGAATCGGACTGCATTTGGGGGTGTGGGGCAGGTGGGAGTCTCAGAAAAACATTTTGCGTAACATCCACAGGTAGGCGCTGTATCAAGGTTTTGCGCAGTGTATCTCTACCCCTCCCAACAGCCTGGCAGGAAGGTCTCAATACACCAATTTTATAGGGGATGAGACTGCCACTAGTCTACCTGTTCATCCCTACACCCAACCAAGAGGCACTTCCTGGGGGCTTGCTGTGGGCACATCCAGTGCCAGCTGAGCAGTGGGAGCCACTGGCAGAGGGGACAGAGGCACCAAGTGACCCAGCCAGGAAGAGGTGAGCAGTGACTCCAGCCCAGGGTCCTTGCTTTCCTGTGACCCAGGCTGGTGGTGGACGAGTATGAGGGGGACCTGCACCCCTGCCTGGGACAAGCTGAGCAAGGCTCTTGGGAGGCCCTCAGATCCATCGTGGGTGCCTTCCCAGCACTCATCCCAGCACGGCCCCCTCCCCGCTGTGACAAGAAAGCACAGATCACAGACTGTGTGAGAGCAAAGAGCCTTTGTGCTGGACTGGACCTGGACTTCATCAGCTCACCACACTGTGAAAACCCAGTGCCCCCTACACTGGCAGCCGCTGTGGTGAGCTGGAGGGGTGGGGGGAGCACTGCTGTCCAGCTCCCTCTCCAGTCGGCTCTCTTGGCCAGGCCAGCTCACTGGGCAGTGGCTTCTTCAACAAGGGGCCCTGGGGGTCTCCCATCTACCTCTCGATGGACAGAGAACCCGGACGAGAACTTTGCCGTGTGCTCTGATCAGATGAGAGCTTTGTCAGGCCCAGGCTCGGGCCACAGGGACGGCGCGGAGGACACTGGGGTTGCTTTACATGTGTTGAGCTGAATGCTGCTGGGACAGCTTCCCACTGACTCCTGTCACCTCTCCCTTTTGCAGACACAGAGGCCAAGGCTCAGAGAGAGGGTGCCTCTTCCCCAGTGTCACGCAGCAGCCAGAGAAGACCCGGGAACCTTCATTCCCCTGACTCTAAGCCCCTTCGTGATCCTGCCTCTTCCGTTTTGTGGATCTGAAACAGTGGAATAAGGGGTAGGGTCCTTCCCTTTCCACTGAAATAAAAGGTGGGATTTCAAAATAAACCTATTTAAATTCAGCTGTTCATGTTCTCCCCTGAAACAGACAGTCAGATATTTGTCAGAGATAAAGGATGAACCGTCGAAAACGTCCAGGTTTAAATTTTTTATTAGCTTAAGGCAGAATATGAAAAAAAAAAAAAGTACCTCTTCCCTCATTAACCCAATTCAGCTACTACCCTGCAGTCTGCCACCCACCACTCGCCTGGATTTTATTCTACACAAATTGCTGTCTGCAAGGAGGCAGGTCGTGGCAAACTTGGTTACCCGGTGAGGGCTGCCGGGGTCTGGCGAGCAAGAAAGGCCTGCTGTCCATCACCGTTCAGACCCGTCATCCCCCACGGCTGCTCCCGCCCCTGCCCACCTCATCTCGGCGCATGGTCCCATGCAGATGACATCCCGAACCCCTTCTAATGTTTGGTTTAACGTGTCGCCGGTTAGCGCCCGCGTGTGACAGTGGTGACAGGCGCGGCTGTTCCTTTTTAAATACCATGTCAGAGACACGGCGTCAGGAAGCAGGGACGTGCTCTGTGGCTCTCTGCCGTGCCGGGATCGCATGGGCTTAGTTTTTAATGAGGAAGATCTGCATCTCGAGGGTTTTTTTCATGTGTCACATTGCGTGGACAAACCAGCAGCATATCACGCTGGCCCAGAATGAAATGCTGACAAATGTAGATATTTCAAATTTAATTGACATTTAAATGTACTTGAGATAAAGAAGGGGAAAAAAACCAGGACTTGGTCTCGGAGGTAACGAAGGGAGCTGGTGATCATTTTCTAAAGGATCGTTTCTCCTTAGCACAAAGGATCTTTGCTTTATAAACGTTGTGGCCACTCTGGTGACCCCTGATTACGTGGCTTCCAGACTGCACAGACTGTGCAGGGTCGTGCCTAGGTGTTCAAGGACAAATAGGGTGGCCCCTGCCTTCAAAGGCTTTCCCAGTTAAGGTTACTGGTCCCAGCTGGGCCTAGCGGAGCACATCAGTCATCAGACAGGACCCTGCCGTACCCTCCCTCCGTCACCAGGACACAGGCCAACAAAGTAGGTAAGGGCTCTGAAGACAGCCTGAGGGTCTCTGGGGAAAACCAGCACAGTACAGGACCCACAGAGGGAGCTCCGGAACTGTGCTGCACCTATTCCTGGTATGACCCAGGGCCGTGCACTCAGCTGTCTGTGAACACCTACTTGGAAACAATGATGCGAGAATCACTGCTGTAATAAGTTGTGATCACCAGTGAGAGGGTGTCTTCCTGTCAGAAGACCCGGTGTCACACTTGGTCCTTCCACCCGCACTGGGGGTCTGCTCTGCCAGAGGGCAGTACCTGCACGATGGCCCAGAAGTCTCTGTGGAGAAGTGGGCACAGGGAGCTCAGGGTCAGGGGGTGGGATTGGATGAGACCAGGTGGTGCAGGGCCTTGAACCTGCAGGAAGACTCAGTCACATGCAAGACTAGGGGTGATGTGAGGGCTGGGCAGGCAGTAGAGAGGCCTTCCTGGCTGGGCCCCGATCTCCTCTCCATTGGGTTAGCAGAGCCCTTTGCCTTGATGACCTTCATTTACCCATTCCCTTATTTATCAACTTGTATGTTCATTCATTCCTTCTTTTAACAAAATCACTAGTGTCAATTTCACATGTCCACACCCATGGCCCAGATGCCCTGAGAAGTCCTCCCCAGGCCAATGGTGGACACCCACAGAAGCAGAGAGGCCCAAGCACAGGGCGTGTGGGCTTTGCCCGACTTTCCCACACTTCAGGCTCTTCGGTGGAGGGAAGGTGGGATGGGGACACCTCAGGGCATTCTCCCTACCTGGAAAAAAACTACGAAGAACTCTTCCTCTCTCTGAAGACAGCCTCTGCCTGCCCTCTGTCTGCTGAGAGCCTGAGTCTTTTCTGGCAGCAGTGGTGGAGGTGGGGTAGAGCAGCGCATCAGGGGAGGAAGCAGTGGCCTTGCAGGGGAGCAGGGAGATCAAGCAAAACGACACAGTGTGCACCTTCTGGGCTCCAAACGGGCATTTGAGAAAAGGTGACATAGCGTCTCTGATAATCAGTAACATCCTGAGGGTGGGGCACCTTTTCCTGGGGCATCCTGAGGGCTTGGTTTTTCAGCTGGAGCAAACCCTCCCGATTGTGACGGCTCCTGGGACAGGTCCTTCCCCGCGCACCCCTGGGCTCCTCGGTAGCTCCTGCCTTTCCAGTCCGGGCTTAGCCTCCATGTCTGGCTTCTGGCTCAGCTTTGTCCTCAGGGTCCAGACCTGCTGTGGCAGGGGGAGGAGGCCGGACTCAGGGTAGGAGCCTCTGGCCTTGCTAATTGGGTCTGTGGCTCAGTGTTTGGACTCCTGGACACTTAGAGAGTGGGCCTTGGCAGCCTGTTACTGGGTAGTACCCAGACAGCCGCCCCTGCCCCCTGGGGCCCAGGACCCAGCTGGTATCTTAAAGACTTGCTCCTGGGGCAGATGGCAGTTTTGGCTTTTAGAGGGTCAGCACAGAGGAGGTACTGGTAGCTTCATATTCACACCTGGCACATAGTAGGTGCTCTTCACACATATGTGGTTGTTGACTGATATCCCTCCCCCACCTCCCAGGGTGCTGGGCAGTAATCTCCAACCTGTCTTCAGTGGTTCCTTTGTTCATTAAACACCCCTGAGCAGAGGCCTGGGCTAGGCTCTGGCCCAGGAGCTGAAGGACACAGAGCTCTACACGTGAGGTAAGCACTGTCACACTGCAGGTCCATGCCACGTCAGGAGGAGCCCAGGGAACTGTGGGTGTGGGCAGGGCGAGGGGTCCGGGGAGTTGAGGCTGCAGCAGTGGCTGCAGATGGCAGGAGGGGAGACTGGCTAACTTAGGATGCTAGTGTGGCTTTGGGGGCAGTTGTGCTCTTTGGGATGTTTAGAAAGAGAGGGCACCCCTGGTTGGTGTGGCTCAGTGGATTGAGTGCCAGCCTGCAGATCAAAGGGTCTCTGGTTTGATTCCCAGTCAGGGCACATGCCTCCCCATTAGGGCTGTGGGCTAGGTCCACATTAGGGGGTGTACGAGAGGCAGCCACACACTGATGTTTCTCTCCCTCTCTCCCTCCCTTCCCTCTCTAAAAATTGAATCACACATACTCACACACAAACAGAAGGCAAAGAGACTTGCCTAGGGCCTGGCCCAGGTCTGGCAGATGCCAATGCCCCCTCGAGCACTCGGGCCTCCACCTGAGCAGAGCTCACTGACCATACCCCAGGCCAAACTGTGGGTCAGGTAGGCTGGCTGTGACCCACCGCTGAGGCTGTGCTGAGCCCAGGTCTCAAGGAGACTGGGCTGGAACAGCATATGTCACCCCCTCCTTGTCCAGAGCATCTGTGCAACTGGCCTGAGCAGATACAACTACCAAGTGTCCTGAGACCCAGTCCTTGGCCAGAGTGCTCACTGAATGCTTCGGGCGGCTCCTCTGATCTTATTTCAATCTTCTGGGGCTTTGGGTGCTGGGGTCACGTACTGCAATCCAGATGACCAGACTCCCCAGTTCTTAAGCAGCGGGGGCTGGCCCTTTGGTAGACAGACTGTCTGCCCAGCCAGCACAACTTACAGAATTTCTCCTTGGCCAGAAGGATTTCTAACCCCGGCCACATGCTTCCCCAGGTCCCTCAGGTCCAGATTCCCAGGGATCCTGCTGTTTGGGTGGGAGCATCAAGTGGTACAAGTCTCTTACAAAGTTATTTAAAAACACGGAGCAGAAATCTGCCTCTATTACTGGGTACAGACCCTGCCATTAGACATATTTAAAGCTCGGCTTTGCCACCGACTCGCAGTGTTACTACCAAAGGCAGTGACAACCTCTCAGGTCTCAGCTGCTCCTACAAAACAGAGCTAATGATACCCACCCCCCTGAGAGTTCTCATGGGAATTCAGTGAAACGGTGGATGTAACGTGCTTACATGTACTTCTCAGTTAACAGTAGCTGTTCATCGTTTCTTTTTTTCTTCTTTTACAGATTTTATCTATTTATTTTTAGAGAGGGGGGAAAAGAGGGAGAAAGAAAGGGAAAGAAATATCTCATCAGTTGCCTCCCACACACTGCCAACTGGGGACCTGGCCTGCAACCCGGGCATGTGCCCGGACCAGGAATTGAACTGGAGACCCTTTGGTTTGCAGGCCAGCACTCAATCCACTGAGCCACACCAGCCAGGGCCATTCTGTTTCTTATAACGATATAAAGTGAGAAAATGGGTCACTGGCATTTTTTGTATTGGGGAAAATGGGAACCATCTGCAGACTCAGTATGAGGGGCGTGGTGACGCGAGCACACGTGGCGGGATCTCCCGCAGTCACCGAGGGCGGGGGCTCCGAGGACACGGGCTGGTCCCCGGGACAGGCTGCTTCAAGGAAGGGGCGGGTCTGCACTCAGGCGCAGGAAGACGACCAGGGAAACCTGCAGGGAAGCTAGTAAATAGCTACGTAGTGGGATTCAGAAAGGAATCGTCCCTCCCCAACGTTCAGATCGTCTGTAAGGCCACTGGGTCATTTTTTACGAACAAACAAAATGATCTGAAAAGAGCAGATTTTGTGTGGATCTGGCTGGATAGGAAGTAGGGCAATGGCCTGTGGGCCTCTGACGGCTGAACCTGGACTGTTCCTACTCAGTACAATGAAACTTCAAACAGCCAGCAGGCAGCCGGCACAGTCACGACTTGCGTGACTGGGACGAAGGCACTCAGGCCCTGCCACTGGTCGGAACTGGGTGCCTGCCTCTCCATCCCATGTAGGCAGACCGCAGGCTCCTTAACCATTACGACCTGGGAGATGGCCTGACCCTTCTGGGCTGTTGTGAAGACTCAGTCAGGTGAAGCCTGCACGTTACCACCGCCTTCTGTTCCTCCGGCAAGACCGCAAGGGCTGCTGCCCTGTCCCCTACCACGGTGAACAAAGGAGAGGAGCCCTGCTGAGAGAGGCACCTGGGGACCAGCAGGGCACTCCCTGCATCTGGCATCTGTGTGTGGCATCAGGAATGGATGGAACTGAGCACAGCGCTGCCTTTTGGAGCCTCCTTCCAGCTCCTTCTGAGCTTCCGTTCTGTGGGAAATCCCTGTACCTGACCAGCCAAGGGGAGTCAGCTGGGGTCTGGCAGCCAGGCACACTGTGGCTGAAACCCCCAAGGCCCAGCTCTAACAGGTGGGGAGCCATGAACCGCGTGGTGTCCCCTGTGGCCACCACTGTCCTTGCCACTCAGAGCAGCCCAGTCATAACTAGGTTTGTAACAAAAGGCCTGCATGGTGCAGAAGAAAGGGTGAGGCCTGTGACCTCAGACAGCTGATCCCACCATTTTCTAGCCCTGAGACCTTGAGCAAGTTACTGAACGTCTCTCTCTCAGCCTCAGTTTCCCCATCTGTTAAAGGGGAAAACAACCCCACTCCTTTTACAATATTAAGTGCCATTCAGTAAATGTCGCTTCTCTCTCCTTTCCCAGGTAGAAACACTCAAGCAACAGTGAACACTGGCTCCTTGGCAGGAAGCCCACTGAGCAGCTCCAGTTCCCAACTCCAGGGGACCACAGCGGAAGGGTGGCGTCAGAACAAGTCACCTGAGGATCTGGAGCTGTCTAGGCAAAGCCAGACTGACAAAGGACCCCCAGGGGCAGCAAAGTGTAACGGAGAGAATGACAGCAAGCAGCATCGGGCACCCTGGCCTCGCCACTTTCGCACTGGATGACCCTGGGGCCTGGGTCAGACACGTTTTCTGAGCCCGAGTTCCATTCGTGGAAGGAGAAAGGAGCACCAGCCTCAGAGGGCCCAGAACACGAGAGGTGCTGACTGTACTTGCTGGCGGCTGGCCTCTGACCCCCAGCCCATGCTGCCCGATCCCTCCTAACACCAGCTTCTCCCCAAGGAGTACTCTGGGCCCTCCACCAGCCCTGTTCTGAATAATAATGGAAGCAGCTAACAGTTCTTGAGGAGAAATCATCACTGAATATTAATTAGCTAGTGTTAACTGAAAAACAGAGGGAATGCTTTTGCCAGAAGTCTTTCCAAAATATTCTTCTAATTGCCATCAAATGGTTTTATGGAGTTAGGACACCTACCGTTGATTCAGGAAGAAAATCTGACATAGGAGAAAATTTCATTTTGGGAAAATTCAAGTCAATGAGAGTCAGCACAGGGATTCCCTTTAAAAGTTTCTTTTCAAAACCTTATGTATCTCACATCTAGTAGCTATGAATGGGTTCAGAGAAGACCGACGGACATCATCTGGAGGGAAGAAACGGACTACAGCAGATGAACTGGCCAGAGCGCTGGTGGCCGACCCTCCAGGCCTCGGTGAACTCCAGACGCTGAGCAGCCTGCTGCTGGCTGCTGTGGAGGCCGTCTTCTTCATCAGCTCCGTCTTGCTGTCCACAACAGTGATTATTTAATGGGCTACTTGGAAGTGAGAGTTGGGACAAGAAGTCAGGAGGACTGAGTCCCTTCCTCCACTTCAAAAATCTTGCATCTCTTCTGTCACCCAAATCCTCTACATTTCTGATGCACTTAGATGTTCCCAGTGGAGACAACAATCTGTGGTTCCGGGAAGTCCAAGCCAGATTAAAGGGCCAGGCACTGACCCGCGGGCCCAAAGGGAACCACCTGCAGCGGAGGCCCCAGAGGGTCTGGCTTTTGCCCACCAGCCTGTCTTCCCGTGTCTCCCAACACGATGCTGACAGATCGGGGGAGATGGCTTCTTTCCTCCCCAGAACAATATTTTATGAGGAGTCTGTTTTATTAAAATATTTTCCGCTGGATGCTTCCTGTGTTTCAAGAACTTGGTACTGCCAGCTGGAGCCGATGACAGCTGAGACAAACACACCGAGTGCTGTTGTGACGTGGCGTGTGGATGGCAGAGGATGGCAACATGGTGGGGGGAGTGCAGGCAGAGATGCAGGAGAACACCCAGGTTGGACCAGAAACGTCACTGGCACAATGGGAGAGCAGCCCAGCCCCCCGCCATGAAAGAAATGTGAGCGGAAACTCGGATTGATGTCCTCCTGACCTGGGATACGCGGTCACAGAGAACCCATCGTTTGTCTTCCACCACTGCCAGTGTGCCAAAGCCCCCAGGCTCCCAGCAGCTCGTTTTGATCCCACACATTTCCTAACAAATCTGAAACAAGGCGCACTGTAAAAGAAACGAACCGCGATGCCCATGCACTTCCAGTCACAACGAGGAAGACCGCATTACCAGCCACTGGCTCCCAGGCATGGCCTAGAAGACTCCCCGTCACCAGGCTGGAAGAGCAACAGTGAAAACAGACACAGTTGGGAAGCCCAACCTCTAACTGGGAACCTGGCCCCAGAACGGGTAATGCTCCTCTGCAGAGTGTACAGTGATATTGGTCCGGAGTTGTTCTGTGTGGCGCAGGGATAGTCTGTCTGGGTTTGCAATGCAATGTCTACAGGTCCGTGGCCCTGTATTATAGTGGGTGGCAAAAAAGATTTAGCCCAGATTTAAAGTGGTGGCTTTACAGAAAAGTGACTGATTTCACCCCCCTAAGGAGACATCTTTAGGGCAGGAGGAACTCTGAAGCCATGCAGCATTTCCTCCACAAGGGGGCAATCACAATCCATGCCTGTCAGGGCCAGGGCCCTATTAGCAATATTCCTACCATCCTATTGTCAGAGCAAAAGTTAAACTTACACTCAACTGCAGGAGTCCCCTCTTCCAAAGAATACATAGCCAAGCATCTCCCAAGACAGACAGACAGACAGACAGACAGACACACACACACACACACACACATACACACAAGCACAGTCTCTTACAGCTTTCTAGGCAAGGTACGGGGCTGCTTGGGTAGGCTGGTTTCTATATGCTCCAACAGTCTCAAGCAACACAGCACTGTAAACCAGAGAACCCCGGGGGCGCTTAGGCGCACTGCGTCCTGGGTCAGGCCACAGCTTGCCGTTTTACAATCATTTCTTCCCTTGGCACCTTTTTTGGCAGGGGCCCACCATCTCCCTGAACTGCTTTCCCTGAGGACAGAGTGGGTAGGAAGTGTCCCCCGCTCTTCACCAAGGTACTTCAGGGTCCTTGGGGCGATGTTTTCAGTTTCCTAAATAACCCAACCAATGCTGACTCATAAACTTTTTCAAGGAATCCCAGAAAGCCAGTGTGTGTCTGAGCAGAGCCCAAGTGCTGTATGCCTTGGGGACAAAGGGAAGCAGTGTAGCCCTCTGATGGAAGAGGTGGTCCCTTCTCCAGATGGGGGTGGGGGCCACGCAGCTTTAAGCTTCACCACATCCAGGCAGCTCTGGCCACTGCTGGCACACCTGCCTCAGCAGTCGCCTCATCTATCCTACGTGCACCCAGCGAGTGACCCTCAGGCGGGTCCTGCACCAGGTGTAAACCCCAGTGCTTGGTCTGGGCACCTCCGGGCACAGGGAGGTAGAAAAGCAAAGCGGAAATTACAGAAATGCTATGGCACAGGGGAGTGAAGTGGGGGTGTGGAAGGGGATGGGACAGCTCTGTGTATAAATCTGAGCTCCGGAGGCCTCAAGCACCCCAGGGCCAGGAGGGTGGAGGCCCTCATTAAGTCACCTCCTCGACCAGGTTCCTAACTCTCCTCCTGACCTTCAGAAAAGGCCTGGAACCTTTTTCTGAGCCTGTCCGAGTATGTTTTGGGCATCACTGCTCAAAATGCAGCCCAGGTGGCTGGCTCTTTGGCCTCTGGGGCCTCCCACTGGTGGACAACTGCCAACAGAGCCAGCACTGAAGGTCAAGCCTTGCTCCTGACTTGCCCCTTTGTGAAATACCTGTTCTGGACTCCAGGGAAGACTTTCAAAGGCTGGACTGCAGCGTGGGCCCCGCGAGGTGCTGGCCCGCTAGTCTAGCAGACAGAGGGGAGGGGAGCAGTGGGGTACTCACTGCTCAGGGCTCGAGACAGATGTCCTCCGGCCTTCCACCGTGATGTTGCTCTTCGGTCTCTTAGCGACATGTGGACGGGGAGGGCGCACCTGGAATGGGCACAGGGGAAAATCCCCAAGAAGGAGTGAGTTGGAAAAGCCATATAGAACTTTCTAAAGTTTCAGCAAAGTGGCCCCAAAATGAATGTTGGGGAGCTGGCGCAGTACCGGCTACAAAGGTTCTGTTTATTTGGAAACACTGCCACTGAGTGGGTAGCAGACACGTGACTGGGACGTGGGCCCTCAAGTGGGAGCGGGTCTTCTGCTGAAAGGTGTGGCTTCCTCACCCGCAGGGAGGGGGACAGTTCCTCTGTCCCCCTGCAGGGCTGCCGTGAGGGTTCAGTGAGGTTCTGTCCACATGGGATCCGGACTGAGGAGGCCCTCCTAATGCTAAGTCCAGCTGGCTGCCTTCTAGAACCCAGAGATTGGTTTGGTAGCACAAGAAAGGTTTCACTCAAGCTTTGTTTTTAGGGTTCACGTGCTTATTTCATTCTTTTTACAACTGAATTACAAGATACTTCTTTTCCCCTCTAAATGGGAGGGGGGAAGAAAGCAAACAGCACCGGAGAGCGACATAAACATCACCTTTATTCCCCTGGTGTCCTGCGCAGCCCCCAGCAGGGCTCAGCCCGGACTCCATGCACCCGGGGGCTACTCCGCCCAGGGTGGGTCGGGTTGGTGTGCTTGACAATGAAGCACACACCTTCCTAACCCATAGCTGGACTGCAGTGGCAAGATGGGTTTTGGGTTCTGTTTTTACCCTGACCCACCGCCCCTGAAAGCCAAGGCGAGGGCTCATAGAAAAGACATCCTCTCCCCCAACAGAGCTTGTGATGGGAGTCAGGCTGAGAATTTCTAGTGCCCCTTGCAGGATACTCACTTGATGTAATCAATGTTACACGGCTTTAAATTTGACACAGTCATCTCCAAACATTTCCAGTGCCAGAGGGGGCCGGGAGAGAGCTAAGCTAAGACAGGCTACCTGTGGGTTTCACTGCTGATAAAAATACTGAGTATCCAGTGCCGGGGCTGGGGGGGGGGGGGCGGGTTACTCTCTCCCTGCAGGCGAGGGACCAAGTAGGAAATGCCACCATGGCTGAGGTTCTCAGACTGGACAGGGAAGGGGACACGCAAACTCCATTTCCTACCTGCCCTTTTCTCTGAATGTGCCCCATGCAATTTGTGGGCAACACAGCATAATGGCTTAGGAACGCAGGTCACAGAAGTTGGCTGCATAAAAGACAAGTCTTTATAGAGTCTAACCAGGTCCTCCAGTTTCTGCAGGTCTGATCTAACCAAAATTTTTCCTGTGGATTGGCCAGTCTGATCTCAGCCTCCTCTGGCAACTGAGAAATGTGGCAAAAAACAAAACGAAACAAACAAAACCGAAACGCATCCCACCAAACTTGCTGTCTTCTTCTGTGGAGCTACTGTGAAGCTCCACTGACTTTTATCTGGCACAAAGTGGGGCTCCATAAAGGCTCACCTTGCTTCTCTGAGGGCTTGTCAATAACAAAAGGAAGCAGGGGTGGGGCGTTAGGGGATTTGATTTGTGATGGCCTTACCCTTGCCTAGCTTCTTGCTCAGTGTCTGGTATTCGAGGGGTCACTTAACAAGATTTTTAGAAGCAAATGAGCACTGCTGCTTGGAATCGAAGAAGTGCATAATAGTGTTGCTGTTATTACCATTGTTATTAGCGCAGCGCCTGCCTCAAAGCAGACAACCAGCCACCATTTGCTGGGTACACGAGTGGATACGCCCCCACCCATTCTAACTGTGAACTGCTTTTCCGGACTAGAGCCAGAGGCAGCTAGTAAACAGGATCACCTGGCTGGAACCCTCCCCCAGACTTCTCACCACTAAGGCGGGGGTACTGTTGGGGCGAGGGAGAAACTCTGCCCTGCCCCGAGGGTGCTGGGGGGGGGATTAAGGAGAGGGCAGACATCAAGGCCTGTCAGCCTGTCCTTGCACATGGCCGCTCCTTGCTACAATAAAGGAGGGTTAGGAATGTGAACTTGTGGCTGAAATGGAGGGATTAAGTTTGTGGCAACCTCAACTGAACTTGCAACGTGGTGAAACATGGGGAAAAAGAACAACAGAGCTAATTAGACGAGCTGAGCTGTCAGAGTGCCGCTGAATGGCTCAGCGCCAACAAACAAAAGGAATGGGCTGGCAATCAGCAGGATCGATGGAGAAGACTGCTTCATTAGGGATGATAAAACAGACAGAGCAGGAGAGGGGGGTGGTGAGGAGGGGAGCACGGAGGCAGGGGAGGCGGGGGGTGGGGAGAAAGGCACAACAGGCCTGGGGACAGTCAGTCACCCACACCAGTACAGTCACACCCAGAGCTACACATACCTGACTGGCGTGGACAAAGCCAGAGACAAAATTATACTCACAGACAACCACCCAGAGACATGCACAGGCCTCGAGATGCCAACATGTACAGTCTCACAAATACATACTCAAGAGGCACACACATGAGGCGAAGACACATGCACCAATCTCTCTCTCTCTCTCTCACACACACACATACACACACACACACACACACACACACACACGCACGGCCTCAGAACTCCAGTTACAGCCACACCAAGGCAGACACACAGAGACAAAATGGTTTAATTAAGCCCGAATCACAAGATGATGCAGACAACGGGCCTGTCATATTTCAGCGATCACATCCGTCTTTCTGGGGTGCTTAGGAAAGGCAGGGGGCTGGGGCCGAGGGAGGAACCACATGCACAACAGCGCCTGCCTGGCCCCGCCAGCCAGTGTTAGGATCCCAGCAGCGCCAGGGGAGAAAATGCTAAACAGGGATTTTGAGCTCTGTTCAAGGGGGACTTGAGGGGAAAGTTGGGAAACCAGCCAATTCCCCACCGGATTTAAAACCTGAGAAATCTAAGTCGGCAGGGTTAAATGTGTATTGAATACAAAAGCACTGAGTACATTTGATTTTGATGGTGAGCAAGAAATAATAAATACAGAGCTTATAAAGCACTTCACATGCAACGGACCACAGCCTGCCTCTCCCCCACACACCCCAGCCCACTCCCCTTGGTCCACCAGATACTGGCAAGGCTTTCTTCTGCTCTTGCCTTTTTCTATTTTTAAAAAGGAAATCTAAGCCCTCTAGTAACATCTGAACTCCAGCCACAGGTGCCAGGCAACAAAGCCCCTTCCAGAAAGGCTGAGTGGCTAGCCTCCAGGCTCCTGCCAACCTGGGCCAGTGGCTACACTCCTGCCCAGGATGTTTGCAGCTGGGTGACCCAGCAAAGCCCAGCTGGGGCCAGTAACTTGTGACACAGGAGCTTGTCAGACCACCCTCTCTGAGGCCCTTGGGGGCTCCATACCTCATCTCCTCCAGGTTTGCCCCCAGTGTGCAGTGGTGTTCACTCAACATGTTTGCATAAGTGCATTTGGAGTGAACAGACCATGGGACACTGAGGACCACAGCTTCCAGAAAGCACAAACCTTCCAGGATTCCCAAATTAGTCTCATAGTGACCCTGCTTGGCAGAAGGTGTTCGGGTTGGCAGAAGTTGAGTATATGTGCCCACTTCATTCCAGGGACTGTGCTAGGCACTACCCGCATATGGCTTCATCACCTTCACCAGGCAGTTGTTGTTAAGCCCATTTGCCAGATGATGAAACTAAGGCTCAGAGAAGATAAGCATCTTGCCCAAGTTACAGCCAGGAAGTGGCCAAGCTGTGATTCAAACCAGGGCAGACATTTCTGACTTCCATGCCCACAAGAACTGGTTCTGCCAGCACCCTGCCTCTTGAGTGCACCATAACCCAAGGGGACTAGTCGCCTCCTGCCCCAGCACAGGGGCAGGCTTTTCTCTCTTGGGGACATACTTGCATTCCCATACCCTCAGTGCTAGAGGATGTGGCCTCCTCTGTGACCCCACACTGCATGAGTCCCCGCACTGGCAAGACAGCAGAGTCCATGGGCGCTGTCTCCCGCACCTGAGTTTTACCAAGGAGAGCAACCCTGACCCATATGCTGCTTTCTAAGAGTCCCTGCCTGCCTTGGGCCCCAGTCTCTTCGGGGAATTCTGAGCGCTACCCACCAGGTTCCTGTGGCTTAAGGAGAAGCTGCTCCGTGAGGCGCAAGGAGAGGCAGTGCACAGACCGGCCTGGGAGTGAAGGCCAGCTGGCTTGGCCTCCTACTATCTCTGGGGGCTCGGCTGCAAATGGGGAAACAGCATGTGTCTGCTATGGGCTGGTATAAAAACAAACTACTATGCAAGTGCCTAGCACAGTCCCAGGCACACGAAAGATGCTCAGCGAGTGTTAATACTCTTCACTTCTGCGTCCCTGCCAGGGTCTAATGCTGCCTTAGAGATTCCACAGAAGCCCCGCTGTACGCTGAATACTTTTTCCTCAGTTGAAGCTCTGCCCTGTTTGTTATATGAGGATAAACTCCATGGAAATGGAGATGGGGGCTCCAGGGAGTCTGGTACACTCGAGAGACCATGGGTTCTTGGGTCTGGTGACTTCTATCTATAGTCGAGGGATGTGAGCAAGGTCACCAAGCATCAGTTTTCTCTTTCTTAAACTGGGCGGAGACAGTGCCTCTGTCAGAGTGACTATAAGCTTCAATTAGATGATGTGCCTAAAATGATCTGCTGACTAGAAAAACCCTAGGCAGATGGTGGTTATTAAGAAACCACATCCTTCCTCAGAGGCTGTAAGATTTAAGGACTTGTTAGGAACATTAAGAACTACTGTGTGCCAGACTCTGTGCTAGGTGCTTTACAATGTCACCTACAAAACCCTCTGAGAAGGAGGGCACATTACAGAGAGAGTGAGGCTCAGAGAACATCAGCACTTGCCCCTAGTAACACGGCTGCGGTACTCAAGTCCAGTTCTGTCTACGCCCCAAACCTGTGTTGCTGATGACTGCACAAAACTGTCACTGAATCACAGAAGGTCTGGCTCGGAAGGCGCTGCCTGTCCCCCAAACTGGTTTCTTTGTGCTGCTTGTGCCTTCCTCCCAATGACAGCGAGCAGAAACACTCCAGCCCCTTGACAGCCATGCCAACCACCATCTGGGTGGGCAACCAGACAGATCCGTCCCGACTACTGCAGGTGAAGGCATCCGAATCCCCCCAGCCTCCATCCTGGCCCTCTATCTCCTGCACATGGTAGGGAACGGAAGGAAAAAAGCACCCTGGAACTTTCCTACATCCACCCAGACAGCAGTCACCAACCAGCGCTGGTGCCCCAAAGATTAAAAACAGCCAGCTCAGATTGGCCACCTGCCCCCCATGGCCTCCACACTTTCCACAAGATGGATTTGGACACGTGCACTGGAGGGGGGCGCTGGACACCCATTGGTGGGAAACCCTGATTACACCGGGTGGGAGCCTGCCCCCTTTGCTGGGCTGCAGCAGTGACTGCTGGGAACAGCAGACTCTTCTCTTGGTACATGGCCCCCATCGAATGAACCTGGCACGTTTCCCGCTTGAAAGGAACCTGCTAAAGTTATTAGGCCTTAGCATGGCCAAAGTCTGAGCTTATAAGGCAAATGACTTCACTGTGGCTGAATTTAGGACCCACACACTATTTTTCCATGGCATTTCCCTAAAAAACACCGCTGGGTCTCCCCTCTTGCCTAACCCTTTGCCAGGTGTTGCTGGGTTTGCCGAATGTCATTGTGTGGGGACCGAGCTCCACATGAGCCTGCCAGAGAAGGAACACTTGTCTCCATCTGCGCCGCGCCACATTCTTGGGGTGGAGCCTCTGCCCCTGAGAATGAACTGCCAAACCCGGATCTGGTGGAACTGAGACCCTGCTGCAGGACTTTGTGAGAAGAGGCCATTGGAGCAGGGCTTGAAAGCTCATGGGCTAAAACCATGGCTCAGCCTCGGAGACCTGCTCCAGTGCAGCACGCACGGCAAACACACCACATGGCCCCCACGACCTCCAGCTCTGACCTGCAAGTCCCTGAACTGCTTCACAAAAAGGAGAGAGAAGCCCAGAAAATGCAAGTTCGGGTTCATGCTACGCAGAGAGGGAAGCTGGAAATCCCAATCCCCAGTTTTCTTTTGCAAGGCAGCTGAGTTCCAACTCCAGAGGAGGTTTAGTCAGGCGGGGACAGCGGCCCAGGCAATGTTAGGAGGGAAGGCAGAACCACTGGCTACTCACGGGCCTCGAGCGCTGTATCTTGGGAGGCGGCGGGCGAGTAGGACGGAGGAGTCTTTGTGGCTGTATTAAAGCGAAACTTAAAACATCAGTACACATGGAGAGGGTTTGATGCATTTGCACACACCATTTGCACACACACCTCAAGAGTAAGCATCCTGTCCCCAAGCCATAGCCTGAGGACAACCCTGGATGCCACCTGCTCCTGACCCTCGCATCAGCCGGCGGGCGTCTCTGGCTCCTGCAAGTTCCATTCCGGAGATCCTCCCTTCTGCTAATTTCTTCATTCTACCCTCACCCCTGCCTGGGTCATCTCCAGCCATTCTCCACACAGGCCAATGGGGATTTTCTGAAGTGCAATATGATGTCACACCCCAGCCTGGAGACCTCTGCTGTGTGCCCCGCCCTGCTTGCCTCCTGCCCTCGGGTGACGGTGCAACAAAGTTCTTGGCCAGCATGCCAAATCAGCTTCTGCAGTGGCGCGCGCAGACCCTTCCCACCCATGCTTACCTGGGCAGACCCCCACGGGCTCTGGGTTCTCACGCCTTGTTTCCCGCCTGCCCTCTGGGTGGGTGAGATGACCCACTTGGTCCTGACCTGCCCGGCAAACACTCGATCATCTTTTAAGACCGTGCCCGGGTCAGGCGCTCCCTGCTACATGGGACTTACCACAGACAGGCAGTGTCTGCCCCATGTCCCATTATCTTTCCTTTTAAAAAATTTTATTGTTCATTGAGGTGACACAGATGAATAAAGTTACAGAGGTTTCAAAGTACACGCCCGTTATACGTCATCTGTGTGTACAGCATTGTGTGTTCACCACCCAAAGTCAAGCCTCCTTCTGTCACCATGTATTTGACCCCACTGCCCTTCAAATGTTCAAATCCTTGTGCCTATGAAGAAAATATGTGCTTGATAAATGTCTGATGAACAAATGTAATTTGTACAAAATGCTTGGCTTTTGAAATCAGGATCTGAATAAAAAACAATACAGCACAGACTTCTCGGCTCTACTCTCGAGCCCTTTATCTCGAGGTAAGCTTTGTCCTTTCGACAGCCTGCCGCTCTGACACCCTGACCGGTGTGGGAGAAGGGCAGGCAGAATCAGGAGAAGAAAAGTCCACAGAACGGAGACCCAGGCCCCCAGCAAACCCTGCAGGGGCCTCCAGTGGCTTCCTGCCCACTCAGCCACGTGGTTTAGGATTGGGACATCATTATTTGACAAAGTCTAGGCACGCACTGCCCACTTCAGGAGCTGATGGCCACTTTCAGGGAGTCTGAATTAAGATATGCTGTGAGATCAAAACACACTGGATTTCAGAGGGTTACTTTGAAAAAAGAATGTAGAATATCTCAGCGACTCTTAATAATGGTTATATGTTGATGTGAAAGCATTTTGGATATTTGGGTTAAATATACTAGAATTCCACATGTGACTTGCATGTGTGGCTCTGTGACATTTCACTGGGACAGTGCTTTAGAGCTTCAGCTGTTTGGAGGGAACTTGCAGAGCACAAACCTGCCTCACTCCTCACTCTCACTCTCTAAGCCCGGCTCCTGGAGGGGAGGGGCTGTGTCTCAGGAGCCCTGGATCCCTGCACGGGCCTAACAGAGTGGCTGAGGGGAACTGGGAGCTCATCTGGATGGAAAGAGATGGTGGCTTTCCAGATGCTGTGCCATCAGTGGGAATGCAGGCCAGCCTGAGCTCAGTGAGCCTTCTTCAGTTGGAGGCCGTCCCGGGAGCAGCACGACACCCTCTGAACGTCCCAACTCACTCAGCTCATCAGGAGGAAGGCAGAGGGCAGGTAATGGGAACCGCCCTCCACGGGTGCCCAGACGCCTCGCTCTCACACACAGTCCCCCTCCCCATCTGCTACCCTGTGCTCAGCCCTCTACTCCTCCAGCTCCATGACCCTTATCACCTATGACCTGGACGCATCCCTTCTCGCTGGCAGGGGTGGCAGTGTGGCAGCGTGTTCAGGAGGCAGCCTCTGCAGGCACACAGTCTCAGACTGAACTTCGGCCCCCCACTTGCCCTCCGGGTTCCTCTGGGATGGTGGCTTTAACCATTCCAGCCTCGTTGGTACCTGCAGGTAACAGCAATCCCCACCCGAGGGGGCTGTTGCGAAGACTCAGTGAGATGATGTTCACCACCATCTCTCACAATCCTGCCAGGACACATCGGCAACAATCACATGAGCAGGTTTCCCTGCCTCCCAATCCATCTTCCATACTCATTCCACAGCGGAATTAAAACAAAACAGCACACGCCCTATCATGTCACTTGCCAGCTTAAATCATCTTGGTGGAAGGCTGGCACCTCCCGAAGTGTATTCTGAGAAACACCATTAGGGAGACGCACTGTACGAAGGGAGAAAAGGAGGTTTCCAGCCAGACGAGTCTGGGAAACGCTGGCACTGTCTTGCTCCGTTTGGAGATTCACAATGACTGTTGGCACAGCAAAGGAAGTCGTTGCAACAAAAAATCCACCCTAAACAGGCAAAACACTAATAACTCCTTTTTTCTTTCCTTAAAAAAAAAACCCCAAAAACCCTTTATTAGCATTTATTTGGTGCTGAATTTACTGCTGGGCCACAAGTTCCTGTTTCTTCAGTTTGTCCTGGGACACCTTTTTCTTCTGCGCCACCTCCTCTTCTGGTGTGGCTGGGAGAGCCTGTGTGGGTGAATCCGCCCTCGGGCTCTGTAAATTCTGTGCCGCACCAGAGCTTTGTTTGCCTGGATGTGCTCAATGACAGAGAGTCTCCGTCTAAACCCTGAAGTTGTGTTACTCTTTGCTTTTTTAAGCATGTGCAGCAAAAATTCTGCACTCTTTGGGCTGCTGACCGTGTCCTGCCCCACTCTTCGGCCTCCACCGTGCGATGATGGAACGGGACACGTGGCTTCCACACAGTGACATCCTCTGGTACTCGGTGAGTTTTCAGATACGCAAACCCTTGATGGCCCAAGCAGCTTCACAAGTGTTCTTAAAGTGGACACGAAAATTTGAACCCCTTAGTTTGTATGAGTGTGTGGGGTTCCTGGCTCAAGTAAATAGTGAACATTGTCAGAGGTCACCTCAGGCTGCTTTTGGGAAGAGACTGCTTTTTTTCTTATTCTGTTCCCCAAATTTACTTAAACACAGATTCACGTTCCCTGTAATGCCCATTCATAACCCCTTGGAAAATGCCATGTGCAGATTCTGGGCCTGCCCACAAACCTCTGCCGTCTCAACTCCAGCACAGCCCTCCTGCCACTGGAGCTCCCATGGGCCCACTAGCCCTGCCGGCCTTGAGCTCTCCCAGAATGCCTCATGCATTCTTGTGCTACCAGGCTGGTCCCTTTGCCTGAAACACCCTCCCATTTCCTTTTGTCTCATCCTTTGTGCTTCTTATTTGGCCTTAAGCACTGCCTCCCCCAGGAGGCCTTCCCTGTCCTTTTCTGCACAGTGGGGGTCAGGTGCACACCCTCTTCCAGCCCAGGTGTATTCAGAGTGCACTTGTTGTAAATATCAGCTCACTAGTCTTATTTCTCTATTTTTCTGCAGGTCTAGTATAACACTAGGTACATAACAGGTGCTCAGCAAATGATCTTTGGCTGAAACTTCCTAGGTTTCACAGAGAAACTCAACAAATGTTAGTTTTCCAGATCCCATAATCAACTAACCCTCCTTTGATTGTCACTAGGAAGTGTTGACTCTTTGGCAATTGAGTTTATAAATGGTGGGAAGGAAGCACCCCCTTGAACACATCCAACCCAGAAGCCAGCAGAGTACACCTGGGGGATTTAAAGACACCAGGGAAGGGTAATATGGCATAAATGTCCTGGCATGACCGTGAGGGTCCCACTGCAGGGTGCATGACGGCACTTCGCCAAGGCCAGGTGGGCATGGACGCACTGCTGTGTGGTGCCCCTCCTTCCTGGAGGAGGAGTTATCATGGGGCTGCCAGGACATACTTCCCAATACAGAGGGACAGGACGACAGTGCTCTTCCCACTGCTGGATGGGGAGGTGGCTAAATCGGAAGACCCCTAAAGCAGAAGCAGAGAGTAGAGAGGCTGAGGCACCTTGGCACAGAAATGTTTATGTGATCCTCAGTTCCCTTACTGGATCGAAATGGCTGTATTGACTACTGCTTTTTAAGTGAGTTCAAAAATGCTGGGCTCCGAGCAATCTGTTGCTAAGGAGAGTTCCATCATATGAGTCATCTGGCCCTTCTGGAGCTGGGGCTTCCATGATTGACACAAGCAGCTGCCCTCCTGAAGGTCATGTTTAGTTGGGGTGGAATGATTCCTCCCGTGCACTTTTAAGGAACAACTATTTGGGCCAGGGCAGGGGACTCAGGAGAGGACACACCCTTTATCCTTAAGGAATGTATGGTCTAACGGAATTTAACCTACATCACAGAAAAATAGCTTTCTTGGAGTACAAGTATTTGGGCTAAAACACAAGAAATAAACTTTGGGTTGGAAAGACACAGATGGGTTCACGTCTCGGCTCTGTCATTTTCTAGCTGAGTTCAGTATTGGTTCTGCCACTTGGGTGGGTTACTTGACCTAAGTCTTAGTCGATTCTTATATAAAACAGAAATAACCCCTGAGCCACAAGCCCTGGTGTGAGGATGCTCACGGGAGTGCAGTACAGCTGTGTGGAGCTCTGGCCCGGCAGCCTGATGAGGAAACGGGACCATCCAATCCTCTGTCCTCCCGTTGGACCCACAAGTCTTCCCAGAAAAGCCCTGTGGACGTGAGGACCTTGTTTTTCCAAGGGAGTTCACTGTTAGTTAAGCACTACTGAAGGAGACTGGATTTTAATAGTAATCTCTTCTATTTATATGATGTGTTTCCCTTTCAAAGCATTTCTACTTCTCCTCTTTCCTTTGAGCCTCAGATCCCCTGGTGAAGCGAGTTAGAGAATAATTATTCCCCTGCTATAGAGACAGGGAACAGGAGGTTAAGGGACTACTCGAGGTCACAGAACTAGTAGCAAGCACTAAGATAAGCGGGAATTCTCAGTCATCGTGCTATCCTTGTCAACCCCCATTCCCAAAGTCATCTGGAATCCTT